TCGATTGTTTTTGTCGGTTCACCTGCTGTTACATCCGTGGGTAAAAATAGAGACGAAGATAAGACGAAGATAGGAGGACGAGATTTTCTCAATACCAAGTAGTGTGGGTGTGTGATCCGGTGTCATTTTGCCGGGAAAACGTTGTAGCCGTCGTCACTCTACTTTGAGATTTTTAGCGAGAATATCGTTGTGGTGGAAACAAGTTATCGAAGGTTAGAAGTTTTACCAAGATCAATAAAGGGATTAACCTCCTTCAATAACAGTAACAGTGCTAGCGTTTCTGGTGTATAAAAGAACAATGAAGGTTCCAGGGTTCCGTTGTCTACATGTATTTCTTTAGACTACGTTAAAAATCTCGTCTTTGTAGTCGACCTCTTCCCTAAACCTAAAGGTCTCAATTTATGCAAAAAGGTAATTAACTATACCTTAATAGTGGCAGGCGGTTTTCTTTAACTAAGCTTTAAGATTGGTCATGATTTATCGGATCAAGACACTCTTCATACATAGGTTTAATTATCTCTAGGAATAACTTTTGTTTTTAATGGAAGTGTAGTAAAACTGCTCTATAATTGCAACATCACGCAGGGGTTTGCCAATTCAAATGATAATCCGGTCCAACTTTCCTTTTAATTTAACTCAAATTGATTTTGCTCATTTGGGCTAATTTAAGAAAACGAAAACTTGAACTCATCTAACATATTTATTTTATAGTGTCCGTTTTCTTTTGAGGCCGTTTTAAACAAACCCTGCCTGTTTTATTATAAGTTCTATCCTTCGTCTAACCAAATAATCAAAGACATATTTCATTTCACAGGAATTTCGTCGTCAAAAAGTTAAATTAGTTTTAGGCCTTAGGGTCTAAACGTGACTAATAATTTAGTTTTTTCACAAATTGTACATACAGAATTGCTCTTGAGGAAGACGAAATTTCAGAGAAACAGTTCTCAATCGACCTAACTGGGGAACCAATAGAGTAAAAATGTATAAAATGAGTGTAGCTGATTTAAAAAAGTTAGAGGAGCAAAAGGAAGTGTCATTCACGAACAGTTAGTGTGGGGTGGGGTGAACCAGCCTAGTTGGTAGTCGAAAATATTTCTCAACTGACACGCAATTTGTGAGAGAAAAGATTAAGGTAAACCCGTGTCCCGTGTACTATTACTTCATTTGTATTTTCAAGATAAAGTTTTGCATCATTACTTTACTTCGTGAGTTGAAGCGAGTGTACTTTTTTACGTATTTGAGTAAATGCCACATAGTCTTTATTTACAAAACTGACAGACAGACGACATTTTCAATTGTATGTTTAAATAAGATTTATTCTTCAAAAAGCGTAATGTTGAAAAAAAAATCCACATTTAGGATATTTGTCTAACTGTGTTAAAGGTGAAACTAACCCAAGGCATATAAAATGCCTAAAATTTTCATTCGATGCGGAGACCACTTCATGGAACTTAGCCCAATTTCTTATTCTAGAGATAATTGCACCAAATTAACGTGACTTTGTTGTGTAAATATTTAAATTATTCTTTAACAGTAAAGCTGGCACTACGGCGAAAGGGCACTTTCAATCGGACAAATATTTCGATTTGCACATCTAATCTTTTTTTCAAAGTTAGTGCTATTCCACAACTAAGGGAAAATGCTGGGAAAACTTAGAAAATTATCACGCTTAAATAAGGGCTAATAAGGTAAACTTGCTCGAGTTTTAGGCTGAGAACTTTTCTATCTTATTTTTATCGTGATTACCTGATTGGCGCTCAGCTTGTACATCAAAAACCAAACGAAAATAAAATGGCTTTTACCCTAATTGTTTAAAATTGTCAATTTTGGACAGAATAATTGTTTCAGGTCCATTATCGATTGTTTTTGTCGATTCACCTGCTGTTACATCAGTGGGTAAAAATAGAGACGAAGATAAGACGAAGATAGGAGGACGAGATTTTCTCAATGCCAAGTAGTGTGGGCGTGTGATCCGGTGTCATTTTGGCGGGAAAACGTTGTAGCCGTCGTCACTCTACTTTGAGATTTTTAGCGAGAATATCGTTGTGGTGGAAACAAGTTATCGACGGTTAGAAGTTTTACCAAGATCAATAAAGGGATTAACCTCCTTCAATAACAGTAACAGTGCTAGCATTTCTGGTGTATAAAAGAACAATGAAGGTTCCAGGGTTCCGTTGTCTACATGTATCTCTATAGACTACGCTAAAAATCTCGTCCTTGCAGCCGTCGACCTCTTCCCTAAATCTAAACGTCTCAGTTTATGCAAAAAGGTAGTTAACTATACCTTAATAGTGGCAGGCGGTTTTCTTTAACTAAGCTTTAAGATTGGTCATGATTTATCGGATCAAGAAACTCTTCATATATAGTTTAATTATCTCTAGGAATAATTTTTTTTTAATGGAAGTGTAGTAAAACTGCTCTATAATTGCAACATCACGCAGGGGTTTCCCAATTCAAATGATAATCCGGTCCAACTGTCTCCTTTTAATTAAGTAACTCAAATTGATTTTGCTCATTTGGGCTAACTTAAGAAAACGGAAACTCTGAACTCATCTAACATATTTATTTCATAATGTCAGTTTTCTTTTGGAGGCCGTTTATAAACAAACCCTGCCTGTTTTATTATAAGTTCTATCCGTCGTCTAACCAAATAAGGTAGGCAAAGTAATCAGTTTTTCTCATATTTCATTAACTTACAGGAATTTCGTCGTCAAAAAGTTAAATTAGTTTTAGGCCTTAGAGTCTAAACATGCGGAAAAATAATTTAGTTTTTTCACAAATTGTACATACAGAATTGCTCTTGAGGAAGACCTCAATCGACCTAACTGGGGAACCAATAGAGTAAAAATGTATAAAATGAGTGTAGCTGATTTAAAAAAGTTAGAGCTTGTACATCAAAAACCAAACGAACATAAAATGGCTTTTACCCTAATTGTTTAAAATTGTCAATTTTGGACAGAATAATTGTTGCTTTGAGCAAGACGTAGTTGATTGCCGCCTAAAATTAACATTTCAGTCAACTCTTCTGCTCTCCCTGTGAAGATTCTGGTTTTTCTACACAATTAATGATAAATTACCGAGGGAAATACTCCACTTATCGCTTCAGGGACCGGGATTTGAGACGACAATATCCCCAGAGTCGCCTAGAACGTAATCAAGAGTCATTTGGCTCGCCAAAATCGTTGATAAAGCAATTTACCCAGCTGAGTTGAGCACAGCGTTGAGCTCAAAAATTAATTGCAGTCATATCTACCTTCAGCGTAATATATCACTCATAGAGGGAAATCAGTTTCCGTTTGTCAAGTTAATGAATAAATATCTAGGAGAAAAAAAATGCAACTTTTACAATTATGGATTTCAATTAAAAAAGCTAATTTACCGTTGTCGTGAATTTTACAGATGACATATTTTGCCGTACAGGATGATTACTGAGACCGGCTTCCTGTTCGAGTAAGAATAAACAACAGAGTTTATAACTTCCTTTCAGAGGAATTATTTAACGACCAGATATTAAGGTGCAATTCATATTATTCCGACAAATGTTGCTGGACATTCTACATACTCTGATAGCGAAAGGACACGGACCACGCTTTTGGTAAACCGATAATGTTAGTTTTTCAATACCTGAAGTTATTGTTTCCTTTTTTTCAGTAATTTTTTTTTGCCGTAAGGCACTTCTGAAAACCTTTAACGCATGATGCGATAGAGACTGAGGCAGTGTTCGGAAGCGGGGGAAGTTTAAGCTGCAACGATGACGAAAGCAACGAAAAAGTCAACTAGAGTCAAAAGAGTGACAAAAATGTATTAGGTTGAGATAACAGACTTTTGAACGAATATCACACTTTTTTTTACATTTCTTTGCGAACGTTGTTCGACCCGCGACGTGAAACTGCTTAAATTCACGTTAGGGACTTGAAGACAAGACTTGACGATTTGCCAATTCTATTTTTAAACTTAGATTTAGACTCCAGAAAAATTCCCTAATATATAACTGACACACTAAACTAGTAAAGATAAATAAGAGCGGTAAGGCCCGTTTCAAAACGTCGTGTTACTGCCGTGCCGAACTATATTGATCTAATTAAATTCGACTTTAGCACGACGTTTAAAACTAAGTCGTGCTACCGCCGTGTAGCAAGGCAAGCTTCTGCCGAACTCAATTCATAAATTATGAATACATTAGAAAACATTTAAAAGTTTTCTAAACCGTTTCTTTATTTTTGTGTTTTGTTTTCAGCAATAGCCGTTCTATTTGACAAGTTGCAAACTCTCCTTCCTTTTCCCGCCCCGCCTCCAGAGCGCCCGGAGAGCTTGCTCGCAGGCTAAGCGTACAAGAGGTAAGCATGCGTAGTATAAGGGGCAATGTGGGTGCCCTTATTTGTTTGACGTTCATAGACAATGTAAACCAACGACGACGATAACCTAAAATGTACTGTATATTAAGATTTAGTAGAAATTCTCTTTATGTCGCGCTTCTGTCAATGAAAGCTTCAAAATTAATTTTGGGACACCGCGCGTCAAAAAGCAGTTTTCTTACAAAAAAAAAAGAAACAAACAAAATCAAAATCAAAAAACAAAAACTGTTTGTTACAGTTCGGTTAGGTTTGTTTTTAATGAGGGTTAATAATTGTAGCTGTGTGCAAATTGATAAGGAAATCTAACAAACGAACTTTGTGTAAGCCTATTATACATTTAAAATTATATGCTTGTTTTCAATTGATTCATCTTGCCATGCCAACAATCGAAATCTTGCTTTTAACAAATGTCGTGGCTTATAAATGTATTTTGTTGGTGGTAAATGTGAAATTTGCAGCGAGACTTAAATATAACTCCCCAAATGAACGCTAACCCACTGCAACCAATCAAACTGTGTTTAACCACTTAAACTTTGTGCTTGTTCATTTATTAATCTATCAACCCATCAGCTGCACTCACCAGTTCATCGCCCAATTATATCAACCAATAAAAAAAACCCTTTTTTTCGACAGACACTACCCAAGATGGAAATGGGTCAGACGGCAGTGACCACAATAACTGCAATGTACGGCGTGGCGATGCTTTCTGCCGTAGTAGGAAACTGTCTCCTGATCTACATCGTGTGGAGAAAACCCGAAGTACGATCACTAACCAGCTCCATGTTCGTCAACATGGCCGTAGCTGATTTATTAGTGGCGTTTTTCATGATGCCTTTTTCCATTGTTCATCTTCACACAAATAGTCAGTGGAAGATATCTGAATTACCTGCCGACTTAACTTGCAGGAGCTTCATGCTGATTTCTTACACCACTCCAATGGCTTCTATCCTCTGTCTAGTATTCATGGCGATTCACCCAGACGTTTTAGGAAACCAGACCCAAACTTTTCGTATCGTTTTCCTGTACATTTTTGTTGTCACCTATCTAATTCCACTGGGAGTTATTTCACCACTGTACATCAAAATTGCCCGTAAAATATGGTCCAACTATGTACCTGGCAATTCGTCGATTGTAGAGCATCAGCGCCGCAAGAGAGAAGACAGTAAAAGGAAACTAATCCGAATGCTTATAATAATCGTTGTGGTGTTTGCTCTTTCCTGGCTTCCCGCGCAAGTAATACACCTAATCTGGGCAATAGAGACATTTTATTTCCAGCCTCCAATAATTGCCATGTATCTGGGATTTTGGTTGGCCCATGCAAACAGCGCTATCAACCCGTGGCTGTATATAGCCTTAAGTAGCAGAATCAGATTGGCATTTACCGGGATGTTACGAGTCCGAAACTCCCATGAGGTATATGTACCAAGGCCACAGAGTCCTCAGTCTAATTTCAATGAAACAACGGAAACGTTTGTAACACGATTTTAATCTCAGTAATAACAATGACTGTTAGAAAGTGCCACCTCCTACTATACCCGCAAGCCAATTTTTCATAATAACGTAGTTGTATGCCTTAACTTTGGAAAATAGCCTTAAAGAATGTTTATAATGAACTGAATATATGCTAGAGTTCGAGTGTGGAACAGCTTTGTGTTACCAAAATGAAGACATCAGAAGACGTCCGACGGTTTGCTTGCTTAAATTTGTAGACAAGGCCTTTAAACGTAGGTTGGCCTCGGGCAACTTACTGCTAAAAAAAATCGTGTTTTACGTAAGCGGCAACTTAGGACTGCCTATATGGAAAATCATATTCTTATGTATAAAAGTGACGATATCATAATGTTTCCTTGGTTTTCTTTGATTTTAAAATTAACAAGGTGGAATGCGTTTTTCAACCGCGTTACTTTAATTTCGCGATTAAAAAGAAAAATCGCGAAATTTGCGAAATTAAAGTGTCGCGAAAATTTCATGTAATAAGGTACTTTCCCCTTTTATTATGTCAATTTAATCATTCTGTGTCAACATTGGTCTACATTAAATGCCAATGAATTATCGTTTAGAAAACAAAGCAAGGAGTTCAAGAGAGAGTGGTCTGGAAATACGATTGAGATGAGAGCAATCTCTCTAAAAGTCGCCAGGTACATTGAGCAAAAATAATTATTATAATAGCTGTGTGGCTGATGATTAGGAGATCCTAATTCACTCAAGTTAGAGATTTACTTCAAGTTTAGTTTCGTTTATTCAGATTTTCCTCCCAAATATTGATTCTCTTTCCCTTTTAATATCGTTTTTGCGCTCCATTTTTTGCAAGTTCTGTTATTGTTTTGAATAGTTATAAAATAAAATGTACGTCCTACGACTCAGTTCCAAGACCATTAATCATAGGAAGGGCTTATAATTTTTATTATGTTTTACTGTGAAATATCATCCAGCTTGTTCAAAACGTTCACTTCTGGTTCTGTGGTGTTGTTCCTAACTAATAGTCCATCAGCTGAGAGCACAGGTGGATCATCTATTGACAAATTCTCTCTTGGCTTGATTTACGTGATCGGTAGAAATGCTTCTTAAATTAAAGAATTTTGCACCTTTTGATCCCAAATGTTGATATAATGTAATACAAATTAATAAAGATAACTTACCATATGTTTTAGCGTCGTGTTCTGCGACACCCCCGACTAATACATAATAAAACGACAAGGCCGTTACAAATTCTCCCATATTCTTCCACTTCCACGTGTTCCTCTCCACCCAGCCTCCGGAAAATCAAAGCCAGATAGTAGAACAATTTTCATTGCTATGCTGCGCCTCTATAGCACACGCGGGGATACTAAGATATGGGCGAAAATAATTTCCGCGTGTGCAAAGAAGTGCAGCGGGGATGAAGGTTTTCGTCGCTGAGGGGAGGAGGGAGGGGCAAAAAACGAAAGTCTGAATAGACCTCTCGGGGCATGAACGCATATGAGAGCAATCTGTTGACGGTAGGGCGTATAAATACTAAGCTAAATACCCAGGGGTACTAGAAAGGTCTCTAGAGAGAAAATATGCTAATTCAAGGAGCGCGCGAATCCATTTCGGCGCAATTATATCAATGAAAATAGTAGAACAATTTTCATTGCTATGCTGCGCCTGTATGGCACACGCGGGGATACTAAGATATGGGCGAAAATAATTTCCAACCCGAGCGCGAAATGCCGCGAATAAGCCAACGACCCCCTGAAAACGCCACATTCCTCCCAATCTCAGACGCTCAGGCCTACGAAGAATCAAGGAAAGGCGAGGGATAGCCCCTTGAGATTACTGCGAGCGCGGAATTCGGTCCCTAATGAACCTGCGCGAGAAATACTATCTTTCCCTCTAACAGTGCCTTGGGCAAGAAGAGAAGCTGGCAGCGACAAATCCATAACTTTGGGGACTTGAGAATAATATCGAGCCACCTGGATGCTTTTCCAGCCAACATGACTAGCCACTTGGTCATCTGAGGCACCTAAAAGAGGTAGAGTTATGGAACAGGCGCTCCTAAAACTGTGCATAGTTTCACCCTCATCAATATTTAACGCCGTGAGATGAAGGCGGAGACGGTTAGCCACCGTAGAACCCACGAACGGCTTTGGAGAAACGCGACCTTTAGGGTCGGTAGCACGGAAGAGAAAACCCTCCCGAAGGTTGATGTTCATGAGGTCGGCTATCTTAACATACGTAGTGAGATTTACAACAGGACAAACCACAGTGTCCTGGGGGCACCTCTTAACGGCAAACTGATTCTTGGAGTCCTTTCCACGAAGCGTCTTCCCGAACGTGTGGTGAAACAAAAGAGCTTGATCCTCAGGTAGCAGGAGAACCTCTTTGGTATAAACACGACCAAGGTCAGATGCTCTGTCGCCCGATTAGAAATCAAGACAGAAGAACGCGAGATCGCGGCTTATGATGTACCTTTCCAACGAGGATAAGGATGAAAGGAACACTCGGTTACGTAAGTAGGTGACAGCTTAGTAAACTTGTCAAAGAAAAATGGCACAGCTTGGCGAGGGGAAACTCTTGCTTTAGCCTTTTCCTCGGAGATTGATACCAGGTATTTCTTAACGGACGGATGAGCCGCAGGGTTACCAGGGGACAAACCCGACCAATCACCCGTTCGACCAACGGAATTAAAAATAGCACGTAGCTTCCCAATTGTGCTATTAACTGTACCAGCGGCTAGTCTAGTGGGGCAGCGACATTTCCGTTTAGAGTGAGAGCCGAAATTAGGGCAGCTGGGCGCGTGGACCTTAGTCTTTCCCTTAGAGTCCTTCCACACGAGAAATCTAATGACATCCTTAGGGGAAGCAGAAATGGGAGACTTGGAAGTTGGAAGGGAGGATAAAAAGGACTCCAGTTCGAGATACAGACTACACTTCTGTTTCTCGTAAGATTTGGCAGCCCTAACTGATTGAAGAGAGGAAATTCTGCAATCGATGGCGGGCAGATCGAGGGAAACTCTGGAGGTTCTTGCGGATACTGAAGGAGGAGCGGGCTGAAATCCACAGTGTTTTTCAAAAGTTAAAGAAAGCGTCGTTAGCGTAAGAACAATCGGGTCACAAGGAGGCGGGCTTCCAAATGCGAGGAACGTTCACAGAGGACTGGGGAAAGGAGAAATCACAATGAGACAAACGGATTCAAACAAATATTTTAATAGAAAAATACACAATCAAACATTATAATGCAAATTACCAAAGGTAACACTCGGGGCGTAGGTGATAAGAAAAGGAGCACTGTCCTGCATAAAAAAACAAGGTTTATACAGGGGAAATTCGAAACACCCACAAATCCCACTGGAGTGACCTAGATTCCATACCGGAAATGGTATCAGCCGGAAAGAGCAGCATGTCGCGATCCCCTCGAGAACCAAGTTTGAACGAGTCTACGCAGGAAGAAACGAGAAGCGGCCACCAATATTTCCTGGGACGAAGGTCGGGGACTGCAATCGTGTAGGGACAATCCTGAGATGCGAGAAATGTAATCAGGAGGCCAACAAGGACAAACGGTGGAAATACATACGCATTGTGAGAAGGAGCTATCCTGCGAGAAAACATTTGTCCCAAGTGCCTGCGACGAGGGAGAGGGAGCGAAGAAAGGAAGTGCTCTACCGGCTAAATCTCTCTGGACATTATCAGGAGTAGCCATAAGGTCGATGGTGTGCGGGCCGAAGGTCCTTTGAATAACCTGCCAGGACGCGGGACTCAGCGAAAAGTCCAGATCTAAAGGAACTCGGGAGGGATAATCTGCTGGGTTTTCTTCAGAAGGGACGAGGTGCAAAATGACATGTAAATTAGCAGATGAAGTTAAATGGAAGATTTCTTTCAGAACGTTGTTGACGCGGGTGTTCCGAGAGCCATCTTTTTCCCAGCAAGCAACCAAGGGTGCATTATCGACGAAACAATCAACCCTAGCGTTTGAGACAAGACGAGCCACCCTTTGCAAAACGAAGAGAAGGGCCAAAGCTTCCTTCACGATGATGGGAAGATCACCTTCATGGAGGTCCCAATGACCGCGAAACTCTTGTTGCGGTTGACCAGGCAAACCGAGGATGCCGCCCCAGCCAGATTTTTACGCATCAGAAAAGACAGTTAACTGGAAATGCTTCTCATCCTTCCACGGTAAGAAACCGGACCACGAATCCAGGAAACGCCAATGTTCAAGCTCTTGCCTTAAGTCGGAGGAAACAGGAATAGCTCTTGGGGACTTAAGTGCCTTCGACATGGCCAAACACGCCGCTCGAGAATGCAACCTGGCGGCAGGGACGACAAGTGTGAAGGAGTTTATCTTTCCAACAAACTTCTGAAGGGACTTAAGAGATACCGTTTTGTGGCTAAGCAGATCTTCTCTAGGAGAGGCGAACTTAATCTTTTTATCGAGGGGCATCAAGAACGCAGTTTTAGTAGAGTCTATGATGTACCCCAGAAAAAATCGGCGTTTGCGTGGGGAGAAGGGTCGACTTTTTAAGGCCAATAAAGTAGCCAAGATCAATGAGGATGTAGCAGGCGATATAAAGGGCTGCTTGAGCACGCTGAAAACCAGACCACGAACAAGGAGGAGCGGTTCGCCGGATTTGAAGTTCACCAAAATGACGGTCGTCTATATATTGAGAACATGGGATGCCATGAGAACGAATGTACCTAGCGGCGATCAAACCGATAGAATGATAAAGGTAAGCGCTAGCCTTCCATCCAAAGGGGAGAGTATTAAAAACAAAGTACCATCCATTCCACTGAAGACCGAAGTATGTCCTACTGTTTGACGAAAGACGGACATGGCCATACCCACTTTTGTCATCGCACGTGGTTTGGAAAGTATTGTTATGGACGTAACGGGGGAGGTCAGTAATAAGATCCAAGGAGAACGGAAGATCTTTGATCCAGAAGTTGAGAAATCTTTCATCATGGCACATGCGGGGTTTTGTAGGTTCAATGGTGATGGGATAACCAAGTGAGGAGGTGACACTTCCCCCACCTTCCCCCAAACCGAGAAAGATCCATTGGCCATTCGCTCCAGAATAGTTTTAGAGATAAATTCAGAAAAGGCTCGACAGCTTTTACTGTTGGGGAAAAACGCACGGGGGGGGTGGGGGGGTCGGGGTGATGAGCCGCTATAAACTTGACCTTGAAATGAACCTTCAAATTTAACGAAAAATTCTGTTGCATCCACACCAAACTACAGGAAACGAAGGAAGGTTGATCGGACCGGGGAATCATGGAGAATCCGGGACCACATAGACCGATTATGATGGATGAAACCCGAGATAAAAAATGAGGGGTTGCGAAAACGGAGAAGACTTGGCGAGGCATGGACCTTCCCAGAGGCCACCATCTCAAGAGACGGGAGTGGACCGGCCCAGTTGGAGGGCTCCCCTTTCCAGTTACACCACATAGGAGTTGACTTAACAGATTTTTGGGCCTGTTTTAACTGAAGGTCAAACGACAAGGATAACGTCTAGAAAGAGCGAAAAAATTGAAGAAGTTACCACGAAGATAAACAGATAACTGAAAAAAGGGCAGGCACTAACCAGGCCGATCCAGAGTATCAGGTATTGTTTAGAAAACCTGTCCGAGATGGACCAGATTGATAGCGGGAGTAAGCAACCAAAATAAAATAACAACACACTTAGAAGCCAAACAGGTAAAAATTTATTTGGACGAAGTAAGTCACCAACATGTGAACATATCAGTTCCTGGGGCAGAATCTAGCGATATGACCCCTTTGGCGGCAACTGAAACAGGTAGGCTGCGAGGAACGCGGACGATACCGGAAATCGGGGGGCCTGCGGGAGGAAGACTGCGTGGGTGGAGGAACATGAGGCCATAACGAAGCCGACGGACGAAGAGACTTTTGAATAGCTTTTGCTACTTCAATGTCCTCCTTATCCCCAACCAACTTGAGAAGAATGCCTTGGAAGTGCAGATTGCCGAGGAGAGGGCGGCACTGACGGAGAATTGTGTTAAACCGTTTGGTTCTTGCATCCGCTTTGTCCCGCCCGAGCTAAATCCACCAAAGACTCGAGCCCTGCCAGAGCTCTATAAGGATCAAACACCGGCGGCGGCTTTGCGAGCTCCTGCTGTAGTGACAAGAGAGCCGCCGCAACAGTATTAGAGGCAGAGGACCTTTTAAGTTCCAGTAGCTCATTTTGGAGTTCTCTAACGGTCATCTCAGCCTAACGAAAGAGTTTTAAAATAAAATTAAGACTGGCGAACAATACAACCAACCACAAGAAACTTGATCATAAAATTATGAAACGTGCAGCCGTGCGAATGCAATCGATTGGCGCTACAAAAGAAACTATAGTAGAAAACAACAACTCAAGCATATTAAGGCATGGCCTGAGGCTAATTTGCATAAAATCCTGTAAGGGTGATAACTTTGTGAAAATTTATCAGAACCTTCCAAAATTTGGCAACCTCGGAAAAAACGGGTAACCTTGATTTCCAGGTAACGTAAGAAATAGATATCTGTGTAACGTGACCACTTACTGTCGAGTCGAGGAAAGAAAAGAAAACTAAAATCGGGCTAGCGAAATGCCACACAGTATAATTATATCAAATACAGTATTTTTGCTATTGTATCATCATTTCTCGCTTGAATCTGGTAGGAATGGTTGACTCCCGTGTTAATTTAATTAGTAATAAAGCAAAATAGGTCACGTGACGCTATTCACCTGTTAATATGTTTTAAAGAAATTAAAATTCTCCCGTTCCGGCCGCGGAAAAAATTCGTACGGTAAAACAAACATTTACACATGGTTTAAACTTAGTTGTAATCAACCATTCCTACTCCATTTTGAAATTCTTTTGAATATCATCATCACGTCACGTTAACGTGACCACATCACTTTAACGCCTCGAAAGAAGGTTTCCCGAAAGTTTTTTGCAACTTGTAGAACTAAAATGCGTGGTCGTAGAAGAAAAACAAGTTTATCTTCGCGGGGGGTCGAGACCAAAAATTGAGCCATGCCTTAACATGCTTAAGAGCAAAGCGTACCACAATACAAAGATAAACGAAGAAAAACAGAGAGGAAAATCTCTCTGACTGTAACCCGTTGAGAGAGATAAAATACGAGCGTAAACAAACGTTCAAAGCGGTAGGTTCCAGAACATTATATAGGAGGGATGCAGAAAAAACACGCTCCATGGAGTATGAAAATGAGATATAAACAGAAAAAGGAACAGGATGACACGCTAACAGCGAAGAAACCCATAAAAGCAACTCTCCATGAACACTAACCTAAAACGGCCACACTTTAAAAATAAGACCGGCGTAAGACGGCGACCGACGACACAGAGCAAACATGAAAAAACTAAAGATAACGACAGAACTAACAGGCAGGCCGACACACGCCACGAAAACTGACTTAAAAACGGGATACGCCAAGAAAACTAAATTGTTTGAAGATGACACATACCGTGAGAAGCAACTTGAAAAGCGACACACGCCATTAGAACCAAGGCGACGTACGCCAAGAAAATAAATCTTAGACTACACGCCTTGAAAACGAACTTTAGTACAAAACGCCGCGAAAACTAACTTGAGGGCGACACATGCCATGAAACTAATTTGAGAGGCGACACACGCCGTAAGAAATAAGGCGACATACGCCATGAAAATAAATTTCAGACTACACGCCGTAAAACAAACTTGACAAAACGCCGTGAAAACTAACCTGAGGGCGACACAGGCCATGAAACCAACTTGAAAAGGCGACATACGCCATGGAACTAACTTCAGGGCGACACACTCCATGAAAACTAACCTGAAGGCGACACACGCCCTAGCTGAAAGCTAACTCAAAAGGCGACACACGCTTAGAGAGCTGTCTTGCAGACCAAAACATGTTATGAACTTGAAGCTAACCCGAGGGGCGACACACGCCGAAGATTGCAGAGCGAGAAACATTTAAGAGACAAACCAAAACAACCTCGACTAAACTACAGCTCTACGAAAAATAACCGAACTACGGAGGGAGCAGGAACAACGCTAAGAAACGAAAGAAACCAGCTTACCTCTTCAGCGGTTGGCGCACGATTATCGCCAGCAAAAGGAGCTTCGGGAGCGGCGGCCGCAGCCGGCCTAGCGGCTTCCAAAACGTCCGGGGGAATAGCAACAGGTGCGTCAGCCATAAAAGAACTTGCTCAGCGACGAAAACGTTCAGTGAGTCCACAAAAAACGAAAGTCTAAATAGACCTCTCGGGGCATGAACGCATATGAGAGCAATCTGTTGACGGTAGGGCGTATAAATACTAAGCTAAATACCCAGGGGTGCTAGAAAGGTCTCTAGAGAGAAAATATGCTAATTTAAGGAGCGCGCGAATCCATTTCGGCGCAATTATATCAATGAAAATAGTTTGCAAAGGTCGATGCCAAAAATGGTGGAGATTGCTTGCCTCTAATGACCTAAAGTGACGCCACGAATTTTCACATGAGCCATCAAAATCGCTATCGTCATAGGATGTGGACCAAAGTGGTCGATCATAACGGCCGTATCAAAGGGGTAACAAGACTAAGTATAAGCCCAACTCAAAAACACGGGAGACGCTTCATGGCGTGCAAGAATTCCGTGCTTATGAGACGGTAAGAAAATGTGCCTGCTTACACATACAACAATGCACGGCTATGAGAGCTGTAGCTCAGAAGGTGATCGGACTATGTGCCAAAGATTTAATCTGACGTAGTGAAACAAAGTACCACTCTTCTTGCTATAAGGCGTTTGTACGTATTCAGTACAATACTGGTAACACTAGAGAGGATGAAAGTTCGAATGATTACGATATGACCTGCAACCTGCGTATGATGCAGTTTATAGATTTGATTGCAAATCCACGGTAATTGAGTTCAAAGAAATCAGGAAACTATTTTCTGACGTGGCAGACAAATTGGGCATCAGTGTTCCAGACTCGCATAGCAAAAACCTCATGCGAAAATGTCAAAATAATATGTTCCAAGAGCTACAATTTGTTTCTTACCAACACAAAAAAGTCCTGGTATACACCATCTCTTTGGAAATGCAAAATGTCATTATCGAGAACTTTGAACTGAATTTTGTATTGAAATTGACAAGTTCAAAATCTGATAACGAAGACAGTCTTTTTCAAGTAGCAAAGCTGTTAAAAGGTACAATAAAGAATCAGCAACCTCAGATGTCATGGCCTCCCACAAAAGATCTAAAAGCAGACAAGATACGTTCATACATCCCACATTTGTTGGACATACTTTTTACCGTACTTATATCAGGCCACTCGTCGTAAACCGGCACGATGAGCAAAACAGAAAAAAAAACATCAAGACTAAAGATTATTTCACGCAGGACATCGTTTTTTTTCCGTTACGAACGGAGCTGTTAAAACGGCTAAAAGTGTTTTGTTCCCTTCTGTTGTGAAAGCGCTCTCCAATAACGCCAAGACTGCCAAGATTATCAATAAGTAAGGACATGGCTTAAGTTATGACCTTTTAGAATAGATAGAGACTGAGCCTTGCTTAAAATGTAACAAGAGAGATTCCCGAGTACTATGGAGGAAAGCGTGTTGGCGTACGCTCTTCTTATGACGAAAAAGCTAAGTTTCTGAAAGTATATTATCTTGTTTGACTGGATGTAAGGAAGCTAAAAACTCACCCATCATTGTGGGCGCCAGGTTAGATAGGTTTTGACATTAAGGTGCAAGGAAACAGATTTAAAGACAGCGTACCAAGTACTGTCAAGAACTAGAGGATGTGAGATCAGAGAGAGATTGCAGTTAAAGCGGTTGCATGTGTCTTTGACCAGGCATTTTATGGCAAAGCTATGGAGGTTTACTGGAAGCACAAGACACTGTTTGATGGATTAGTCATCATGATGGGTGGTTGGTAGCAGATTTGGCGAAGCTGGCATGAGATAACTGGCTGTTCAGAGTGATGTACTGGCTGAAGGCTCAACGGAGAAGGTGATCAGCGGCAAGCATTATACAGGGCTGTGGGCCGTCATAAAATTGTGTATGAAGCGTTGATGAGAGTTCTTATACAGGAGTTAGAATCGTCTCTCACAGATGAGTCAAGCGCCTGTATGTTCAACAAAGAGAAACATCAAGTTAGATATCGCACCAAACGAATTTGAGAGAGATCTGCATAGCAATGAATTTCCTAATTGAGAGAGCTAATTTAATGAGTATGTACTGGACGTCAAGGAGAAGGGCACAGACCTAGCGAGATTCTGGCTGTCTTATCTGGAACTCTGTGATCTGATGTTGAACCTTAACTACGCTACGCGAACAGGTAGCTGGGAGTTGTAACGTTCTTGCGTGGAGGACGTCATACCATGTACTCTTGCATATGATCACCAGAACTTCGCTCGTTACCTCGTCCCATTCCTTGATGACTTGCGCGGATTGTCAGTCACAATGCCTAAAGTGTATCGTGTCTTTAAAGATAGCTAGTTCTCTGTTCAGATGAGCAAAGCTAATCTATGTGGTTGTAATGAAGCTGACAAGTCAATGGAACACCATCAAAATAGACTGCAAGACTACAGGTGGCTACGTCGGTTTCAGTGTGAACTTTGCCACAACTCAGAGATGAGTGTTGAACGAATCGAGACGCGGTATGTTTAGGAAACGTCTGCGAGAACATTTATCGATTACACCGGAAAAGACGTATTTTTACAAGGAACTTGCTCCAGCTCGGATCAAGACAGATTTAGGACCTGTAGAAAAGGTGGTTGATTTACTGCAGAATATATTTAGTACCATCCCTAGGAGAAAAAGAGGGCGATCTTACAAGTCTGTCTACAGGCTGGTGTTACAGCAACTTCAGAAGTACGCAATGATTTGCTTCAAGCCAGAGAGGAGGGGGATGGGGGAGGTGGGGTGGAGGTAAAAAGCGGTGAATGAGCTCGTAGTAAGTCGGTGCTCTTCGGATCCAGCATCAGATAAATTTGACTATTTAAGAAAAATGAAGCTGAAGTCATTTAAGGAACTGGAGACCACGTACCTGGAAGGTTCGCACCAAAGATCTTGTACTCCCATTAAGAAGTGATCGAGTTTTGTTTGGAAAAATGGCGTTACCTGAGCAGTTCAGAAAGAAATATGGGGTGAATTGGGGAAATGGCTTTGCAATCAGTGACGCTTTGTCCCTTAAAATGCCTTATTTTCCAGACTAATGAGGAAAGCTTCACTTTTGTTACCTAGCTTCAAGACAGACGGTTCTAACACATGGAAGTTCATGTATTCAAGAATTTCTTTTTGAGTTGAGATTTTGCTTTTCCAGTAAGAAGGGGCAAAAAAATACCAATCAGTGCGAGAGACTGATATGTTTTAGCAGCCCGATTTTCAAAAAAGCATGTATATCTATTTTTAAAGTTATCATTTGTTTAATTATAAGTTGGTAAGGGAAAGCAACAAATCTCCTGCACATCGGGATAAATTTCACCAGATTTTGAACGAGTGTTGCTAGGGATTGGCGATATCGATGATTAAAGACAGTAGGTTTCAGGCATTAACCGGCTCAATCGCCTTTTGACATTTCCATCGTCAAACGTGAGAGGTGTATTTTCATTTAAAGATTATGTACACCCTGTGCTACTATGTTGGCAAATTTTACACGAAACCTGTGGAGCTGAATAACGACGATCAAAACTGGTTTATCTGAGCGTTTTCTCAAGGTTTTTTTTTTTTTTTTAAAAAAAAGGTACTCCTCCACACCTAGTAAATTCAAATCGTGTTTGCCCATCCACACAGAAACTCTAAAATGATGCAAATGCGATAGCGACCCTTCAATACTCACAGGGTGTGCGCCGCTGTATAATGTATGACATCATCGTGTTCGAAAAACACCATTTTCGTTCGTCCACAAGCAAAACGAGAAGCCGGCGTTTTCAAAAATCTCAACTCTGCAGGCCACTTTGTGAAACCTGCATGTTTTGGTGCCCGGAAAACACCGTTCATGTATGGACAGAACGCTAAGATAGGGAAAAAACCTCCGTCTTTATTCTGAAACACCTGAATACATGTAGACCTGGCCTAAATGTAGAATTATTATTAGTTTAGCTTATGATAACTGAGTATTACGGTCAATGGAGCGAATCTCATGGCAGTTTAATCAGCCATGATCTTGTGCAATCGTACATAAAATCCTCGTACCCAGGGTTCTGTCCTACTCGTCGAAATCACAGACAACTTGACTTGACAAATAAGGCCTAAATAAGAATTTTTTTTTTCCATCAAAAACAGAAGATGAATTTATCATAAGTGTGGAAAGTTTCAAGAAAGCTTAACGTTAACCGTTATTTGAAACCTGAGAAACAGTTATTTAAACTTATTAACCGTTGAATAGTGCGCCCCTTTCGTAAAATAGTAGTGAAAATCAGCACATTATACTTAAAGAGCTGATTTACGAGACGTGTTTACTTCAATTTGTGTTTCGTTCAAGAAGTTTAAAAGCGAGTGTCTCAGATTTTATAGTTAAATATTATTTCTTAGATAGATGTCAATTTTCTGTAGAGAGTTATGAAAAGAAAAAAAAACAAGAAAGTTAAAATGAAACCATGTTTCTTTCAGTGCATGTAAAAATGAACGTATCTCAATTAATACGTGATTTTAGACTATAGAGTCAGAAACGTATCACGCTCAAAACTGTTGTGGGAAAAAGTGATATTGGTGACTGGGTAATTTATTGTAAAAAACCAAATGTCTGAAAACAAAAGTTCGAAGTAAATGTTAAATGTGGAGTTATCCGATAAGTCGATGAACACTGAATATGCAGCTACTACGATTTTATTTAGCGGACAAAAAAAAATAATTAAAGAAGAAGAACATTAAAATGAATTTATTTTTCAGGTCATGCAACATTTCACGCCATATTCTCATATGATTCCTATCGAACGATTTTCAGCACGTTTAGGAACGACAAGTCATCAAGGGTTTCGTGTGAAACTTTATGACGGAAAAAAATATGAAGCAACTTCAAGGAACTCGACCATAAAAAAATTAGTTTTAACGTTACACTCGCTCCATTGTACAAATAGCAATTATCTTCCCTAGTAGAGTTGAAATCCACCTAATTATTAAAATACAATGAGCTACTATTTTGCCAATCATGAAATCCGAACATTCAGCAACGTTTACTTAGTTGTGCCAGCTATATAAATAATCAGAAGACTTTTGGGCGGCGTTTGTAATTTTGTTTGCCCACCTGTGTTTCAAACAAGCAATACCTATATCATCAGTCCTTTATTAACGTGCTGATTAATACAATGAATTTTAATGAGCTTGCCTTCGGCGATTTCTGCCTTAAACCAATGCGAAAAAGGAACTGCGCACACGTTTTCATCTTGACAGCACGAAGACAGATTCGAACTCAAAATACCCTTTATTTTGGACTCTATTTAGCTTTAAGGATAAAGAATACTATTTTATGATGCTAGGTGCTTTCGTATTATTGCTCTCGGCTGCCACAGCCTGGAGTCAATCAGGTAAGTGAGGGATGCGATGATACAATCTTACCTGAACTTTCTTAACGTTCACTCTGTTGTTATTTTAACCGCCTTTACTAATTATCTACCTCTGGTACTGCAAAAGACATTTATCTATACTAAAGCAATAGTTTTAGTCTAAGACATAGCTTAAAATATATGCCTTAAATTATAAACCCATGACACCAATGCGAATTCACGGAAAAACCGAAAAATATATATATATATCTATATTTATTTATTTTTTTAATTTCCGAGGGTAATGTTCTACCTTAAAGAAATACCTTTTGTTATAAAAAAATCGAGAAAAAAGACAGAAGCACAACTACCTAGAGGAAAAATCAATCATGGCCGATTTTCAATACCACATTTTAACCTTAAAAAATGCGGATATTTTTAATATCTTAACCAGACCAGCTTGAAAAAACGCAGGGGCCTCAATAGGATAAATTCATCCGGCAGATTAAAATAATCTATAGTAACTGACCGAGCCTGTTAACCTGGCCCTACCAATTCAAATATCATATCACTGATTAAAGAGAAATAGGCATTTTTCATGGCTTCCACTGATTTATACAATTTGATTGTATTTTTAACATGGTTAAATATAACATAATGTTACAATAAAGACAAAAAATTGTCATACGCGACAATATAATTGCGAACATCTATGCTCATTAATCTTTCTTAAATATTTCCATGGATATTAAGTTATTCTTTATTCTTCTAGTTACAATAGGTTTTTTCATACCACGAGTTGCGAGTTTTTGCCCTTTACTGATTATGCCGTGCTTTTTCGTCATAGGAGATCACTCGAGCAGGCAATTGTTTACAGCCATTTATATCTAAAATACGCTACATGGCTTAAAAGCAGACCTGGATCATGCCCTTTCTTCCTTTATTTCCGTCACCAAAAATTATGCTTCTCTCCCGGCCCTACTTATTTCTGTATTGTCTTGAAATTTCCCCGTTTATTCACATTAAGCTTTATTTTATTGGTGAAGGAAAATTCCTTTTAATTTTTTTAATTTACCAATCACAGTTCAGCTGTGATTCATCAGGCGCTGTGCTTTAGTCTCAGAAAGTAAGATACGAACCAGTTGGACAAAAAAACAAAAAACAAAACAAAACAACAGCAACAACAAAAACAAAAAACACCAAGCACCTAACGCGTATCCGGATATTTTTGAAAACGGAGATTTTTTTCTCTCCGTTTTAGGGCCTTCCGCCAACACGAAATCGGCGTTTCCGGGCACCAAAAGGGCATGTTTTAGAAACCGTTCCCAGGGAAGGAAGACATTTTGAAACCATCAGCTTCGTGTTTACTTGTGGATAGACGAAAACGGAGGTTTTCGAATGAGAATATGTCATACATCATATACTGCTAGTATCACGCATGCTCTGTAACCGGGATGCTATCGTATTTTTATCATTTTAGCGATTTCCTGTGGATGGGCGAAAACAATTCATTCCTTTGCATGGCCACGAGAAATGTCCATGTCCGTTTTTCAAAAATATCTGGATACACGTGGACAGGGCCTTAATTGACCGTCGGGTATAATAACAGAGAAAAATACATAATACTGTAAAAGCTATGATAATCGTTTTCTTGGGGCAAATCCACACTGTTCTTTTGAGCCCACAATCTTCAGAGTTGGATCAAAAGACGAATATAAAAAATCATTTATTGGGCTTTATGTTTTACTAAGTATCAAAAATGATTATTCCCTGAAATACTTCTAATCCACTGCATCCCTGCAAACCGTTTAGTGAGCATTTATTTTGATTAACCGCCCTCGAGCTTACTCCAAATATTCATTTCATGTTTTGACAAGCTTCATAGTTAACACAATTATTTACTTGTTCTTCAGCTTGCGACGTTGAAAGGGCAGTTGGTATCGAGCTTGGAAATACTGGCCCAGTTCCCAATGACAAAATGAACGCATCAAGTGAACACAACAGGTATGTTACGTTCATCAATTATAAGGGTGATATCATCTCCCTTTTCGAGTTAACGAATAGAAAGGTTTTAAATAAATAAATTTTCGAAAATTACCAGTCAAACGAGAGACATTTGTAAGTTTCCGGATCAACTGCAAACAATACTATTTAGTTATTGTATCCTTTTTCGTTTTTTGGGCAATTCAAAAATAGTGAGCTGTTTGTTGGATGTTTGTTTGCTTTTTTTGTCATGTTTGCTGAAGTAATTCTTAGGTAAATTTTAAATTTTTGAATCTCACTTTTTTTTTTTTTCTGAAAGATCTGATAAGATGGAAATGAAAGCAGAATTTTTTTTTTTTTTGCAATATATATCTCATATATGAGCTGAGATGTCGCAGTTTGAATTTGGATAATTTTTAGAACAAAAACTTGAACCCGTTCTTTACTTAACATCTTTACTGTCTTTACTGTCGAAGGTTAAAAGAAAAAAAAAACTTTTAAAAAGAGAAATTTTCAACTGCGTAGAATCCTGGGAAACGAATTTGTGATGTCAGAGAATGTCTCATAATAATTTTTTGTACTCCTTACACTAGCGTTATTAAGTCAAAAGATGAAAATCTAAAAGCATACGATTTTAGTCCACAATGAGAGGTTTATGGTACCACAAAATCAGCTTATTTTGTACAAAACTGTTAAAAAAAATATCAGAGCAATCGTTTTTTTAAGAAAAACTATGGATCCCGGGGCGCACTAACTCGGCTCAAACGTGTCGCATCGAAAAGCGGTTTTCGGTATTTTGCTCCTCTTCCGATGCTCTTTCAGATGATGTACGTTTGACTCAAAAAGTAAAGAAACTATTTTCCCCATTTTGGTGAAGTCACAATTTGAACTTTAAACTAAAAAAATCCAAAAACGTTTTCGGTCATTTATCGTAGCCCATCGAGCAAGTTTGCTTACCGTAACAAATAGCAAAATTCGAGAGAAACACGTAAATTTAGCACGTATACAATATTTTGGGGGTGGTTTGGCCCCACTGTGTTAACGTAAGAGAATCACATTTGCAGTGCTCTTATTATGATAGCGAAATTCGTTGTATCGCGCTGTGCGTTTTGCCAACTTCGAAGGAACTTCGGCTTTTTCTGTTCCTTCAATCATCTTAGCGGAAACACATGTTTACTTGCACGAGTTCAAAAGGTTATTGTTTGTGATTCGTGATTGGTGGATTTCGATCAATTTTGTTCGTTTCATGTTTCAAGGTTCGTTGCTTTGTGATCGTCCTGTTTCGGGCAATAATCGACTAGTTATTATAGATTTGCTTCGCAGATTTTTCTGGTCTTTTTTCTTTCAAGAATAATTATTCTTGTCACTTGCAAGAATAAAGCAACGTCTGCCTCCTTCCTTCGAAAAAAAATCCACTCACCGTCGCGATTCCTTTGCTTTTCTTGAGCAGTCTAGAGTCAGCGAACACGTTACATTATGATTTACATTAACCCCGTCTTTGCAGATACGCGCATCGTGATACAACGAATTTCGCTGTAATAGTTGTTATCAAAGAGGTTCTCCTCAAGGTCTTGCCTCAAAATCAGGAGAGGCAATGATGACACCTAGGGGGGTAATTTCCGACGCCATTTTGTTTGTTTATCCTTTGCTCCGTGCCCTGGCAAAAAGTCCGCGCGTGTGTCACACGAAACGGCACAATTTGTGCTAAAAATAGAATCAACCCAGTTACGGTCACCTACCCCGATTATGGCTCATGGAAATTAATTAATTTGAAGAGTCAGGTGACAAATCACCTCTTAAAACAAAGGCGAGGGCAACTTTTTTTCAAATCTTAATGCTTTGCTTGCAAAAATCACCGAAAAGTATTACGGTTGTGATAGTTAGTGCTCTCTGATGAAATTGGTTGGATATCTTTTTCATAGATCTATGGGCACCTTTTGTGAACGGGTAAAAGCATTAATGTACGGAATTGACATAAAATAGCCGTATCCTCGCGAAAAATCTACTTTGAGAAAGGTTTTCATTATTTTTTAATTTAAAAATAATTGTTGGTGTTCACGTGACGTCACTAAAATTCAAACTAAAAAACTATCGATCCTACCGAGATTTTACTTTCACGATACATTAGAGCAGCTAAAAACTAAGTTTCGTACAAATTTTCGTTCCAAAAGGGTTCTTGGTTTTCTGATAGAGTACGCTTGAATTTCTAAGCTTTTGCGTGGCGCGGCATTTACATGACGGCCAAGCTAAGAGAGCTGTCATGTAGGTTAAAAAAATGACTTATTTCAGGAAGTTTTGCTATCCACATAGTTCATGTATTAGAAAAAGTATTACTTTAATGTTTATGAGTTTCTCGAAGAATAAATTCACCCTTTTGTAGCAAAACTCGGTAACAGATGTTTCTGTTGGTTTCCGTCCGCCATGTTGGAGCTCGTCTAGGTGAGCACCAGCATGGCTTCGCCATACAAACCTCTATAAATTTGGCTAAAACGTTTCCTTGGATATCTCGTATACAAAATATTCCTCTGACCTGAATCTTGGCGAGGGTCTTTGTATATGTACCTCCTTTCATTTCCCAGATCCTGGACTTTATCTATTGAACGGTTTTGATTTTTATTTTGATCTATTTTGAATGGCGTGAGACTGAAAACCAACAATAGATCTTTAGCTGCTATTTATCCTTCCTCGTTTCAGATATCATAAGGCTTCAGAGGGAAGACTGAACAATTACAAAGGGAAAGGCCTCACCGACGGAGTCGGGGCCTGGTGTGCCAAAAAAACAGGAAACGTCACTCCTTACTTGGAGGTAACTAACTCGGGGAGCTTGAGTTATAAAAGAAAAATAAAATAAAATAAAATAAAAAATAAGAAGGTGAAGAATACCATCCATTCTGTAGATTGCAAAAAAAAAGTTGACATGATTTCCAGTTTCTTCGATCCTTACAACTTCATAACAACTTCAATACAACTTTATAACAGTAAATCCATGGTCCCGTCCACAGGTGCTCTGTATGCGTAGATTTCCCCCGCAAATAGCAAGAACAAGTATGGACGGAACGAAATGGCGTTTTCGGGAAACAAAAAACGTAGCGCAAGGTTTTCAAAAACCGTCACCAGAGTGGTGGTTTTGGAAACGCCGAATTGTTTTTTTCCTGTGGGTAGAGGAAAACAATGCCGAAAACCGCGCTGTGGTTTTCAAATAGAATGATGTCATTCATCATACAGCGCACACTCGGTAAAGGACGCAGCTTTTCTTGCATCGTTTCAGCACTTTTGGGGGCAAAAAAGATTTGAATACGTTTCAAATGGATGCATACTTTTTGGAAAACCGCGGAGAAATAACCCCGTTTTCAAAAATGTCTGCGGATACGTGTGGGCGAGTGTAAGTTGGCCGCTTTAGGTACATGTATCAGGAAACAGCAGCCAGCAATATAGTAAATTCAATTATTATCGATTAATTTATCATTGGCATTCATATATTCAATTGAACGGGTATTGGTTGACGCTGAGTGCTACATGACATCATATATATTATCCTTCTATTACGAATTTCAACTATTTAGAAATGGGCCAGATTCCAGCAAACGTGATGATTTACGTTTTATTTTCACGACATAGATTGATTTGGGAAGCCCTCGTCAACTAAGCATGATTGGTACTCAGGGTCGGAATACAACTTATAACCAGTTTGTAAGCAGCTACTCAGTGCGTTACAGTTCCAGTGGCTCCATATTTTCTACTATACGAGATGCTTCACTAAAGGAAAAGGTAGAGTATTCCTTAAACGAACACCAATTTAGCGATATCATTTTATTAATGGAAACCGTTGCGTAACCGCAAATGGCCGCGTGCGTTACTTTAATAATTTTTTTTTTTTTTTTTTCGTGAAAATAAGCTTATAAATTAGGTTTGGGGTCATTAGTTCATTAAAAATAAGGAAAGTCCAGGAAGGTGGGGTCCTAGGTGAAATTCCCTTAGTGGTGACCGGGGGTATGAATATTTTCTGGAACCACACTTTTGGCAAGAATTCTTTTCCAAGGCCTCTACTGTAACCGAATATGATTCCTATATTTGATGTACTGTCATTAAAGCACTACCCGATTTATTCCCATTGACCGCACAAGTACTTTATTTGCTGACGACGACGTCACGATCATATCACCCCAAATTCTTATCTTTTCCCCCCTCATTTTAAATATCACCCATTTTTCCTCATTAAAAATAATCTAAAAGAACTACATAAATTTCTTAGACAAATATTAATCAATGAAAAGATAGAATGAAATAAAATGAGATAAAATCTCTGCAAGATATTAACTTCGAAACTGAAAATTTGAGTAGACTCTGCTTCAATCATGGCGAAACCAACTGCAATACGTACAGCGACGCCCGAATCGTTGACGTGTCAGTTTAAGCTCACCAAAGTGTAACGCTGTTTCTTTAACCCTCGCTGCTATAAAGCTAGAGTGTGAAGGCTGTCTCTCCTTTTCTCATTGCAGGTATTTGTCGGAAACAGTGATAAAAACACTGTTGTTTGGAACGCTCTTCGAGGTCCTGGAGGAGGTCCTTTAGTCGCGCGGTACATCCAAATCTACCCCTTAGAATTCTACGCAAACATTTGTATGCGTGTGGAGCTGAAAGAATGTGCAGGTTAGCTCTTAGTTAGTTGTACTTAGAAACCACATAAGTGTGTATTCGAATGGTCAAACGATGGATGCTTATGAAACTGTTTATGGGATTTAAAATTCATATGACTGTCTTGAGTTGCACCAATTCTAAGCAATTTTTTAAGTAAGCATTTTTGAGAAAACGCTATTTAAAATTTTTGCAAGCTACAAAGAAACGAATCAAAAACAACGCTTTCAGCGTTGAAGAAGGAAATATCAATCATACAGTTTTCAGTTATCCCTTGTAAAAAAAAATTGAAACAAATCTTTTAACGGGACTTTAAATAATGTGGACGTAATCGAAAGTTACATATATCATTGCCATAAATTATCTTTCTGTTTACTTTCAAGGTAATATATAGTGCTCAACAAAACTATCTTCTGTTGGGTTTACGTGAAAAGCCGCCGGCCATTTGCTTATGTTTTAATGTACATTAACCCTTATTTTCGAGTAATTTGAAAGACGTTTAGGTGTGCAACATGCTGAAAAGATATAGGGCTAGAAAGTGTTGAACTTTTCATCCAATAGTTTTGTTTTTATTATGGAAGTAAATAGCAAGATCAGTAATTTACTGTATGACAAAAAAGTGATTTATAACTTTAGATTACGTTACTTTACAGCTATTTCGAGAAAGGTTGTCGGAAAAAGTGCAAGCGACAATCGCTAAAGGTATAGAGAGGAGAAGTGTGACGTCACGTTACCATGGTAGCAAAATTTCTGGATGACAACGATAGGGAGCTTTTGCAATGGTGACGGTGAACAGCAAAAAAACAATACGTTTAGATTGGCAAAAAAAAAAAAATCTTCGCACGTGCATCACGCTTGTTTGTACATTTCTTAGCCGTTGTTGCACGACCGCGACATGAAACTTCCCAATTTCACGCGCCCGCTTTTTGGAGTAGGTGAGCACAACACAAAAATTTTCTTTTCTTTTTCTAAACTTACATACGGTCCTTTCGGATTTAACCCAGAAAATTTCGTCAACATTTGACAAATTAAATGAAATTGATTAAGATCGATGAAGTTTGAAACAGTGCGAATCCACTTTTTAAGTGACGTTTTGGTTTGTTGTCATCCACAAATTTTGCTAACATGGCAACGTGACGTAACGACTTCTCCTCTCTATTGTGAATGGTTCAAATTGTGTCCCCCGTTCTTTAAAGAAATTTGAAAGAAAGGCACGAGAAGCCACAGTCCAACAACCTTTCTCGGAAAAGCTGTATATTATCGGAAATCGGGTGAGGCGACTTCTTTCTTTCTTTCCTAATTCTAAAAACAATTTTCACCAAAGTTTACTCCCTACCGATAAGGAAAATGTCTTTTTTCGTGGACCGGAAAAGCGTTGTTTACGTATGATTCGTTTCGCAACTCGCTGTAGCAGCCAGAAAATTTGAAATAGAAATTGCTTGAAAACGCTCTCATAAAAATTGCGTAGAATTGGTACAACACCAAACAGTTACATCATATAAACAGCTTCCAAAACGAATGTCTAAATTTCTCAAAAATTTAGGAAACGTATTTATAATGGTTATTGCGTTACCGTGTTACCATGTATAAGTCGAACTCGATAAAAAATACATTTTTGAAACCCTGCAAGTTTCGATTTCCTGCTTTTTCAAGAGATTTTTCCTTTTGTTCTATAAATGAAGGTGTTATCACAGAAAAAAAAAGGGGATCGAGCCACCTTAACCCTTAAAAAAGTGACCAACAGTATCTGTACATCATCACGAGAAACGTTTATGAGAATTACAATAAGACGATCATCGAAAAGAAAATCCTTTATTTTGTCAACAAAATCTTAGAGAAAATGTATACAAATCAGCGTGTAGAATTTGTATGTGAAGTATTAAGCTGAGCACAAATTGGGTGGGCTATTAGAAAGCGCACTTCGCTTCCCTCACGTTTGGCGTTCTGACCAATTTACACGTTATTAAACAGAGGGTTGTAAACAGTTTTTTCATAAATGTGCTGTGGATGACTTTACAAGCTTGGTTTATTAAAGAACTTGGAATCAAACGGTACTTATATCTCTGAATCGGGCTATATTCTAAAACTAAACTTTCTATATTTATTTGACTCTGGTGCTTTTGAATAATAATAATAATTATTATAAAAATAGTAATAATGATAACAGGAAAAGCTGGGCTACGCGTTTCGTGTGCTGTAACTGTGAAAAGTTGTAATCATTAGAATTTCTTTTCTTTTCGTTTCTGCAGAACTGCCCGGAACAACAAGTAAGAAATAATTCAATGTTTTACACTACTTTCATGCCATTTCAGATTTTTGCCATTTTAAATGGATGTCATTTTTGAAAAAGTTTTTACTGATTTTTATAAACTTGGTGCTTTTGAATAATAATAATAATAATATGTCATTTTGATAATAATAAATTTATAAAAATAATAATTTAATTAATTATTTATTTTAAAATGAACTTATTTTGAAAAGTTGTAATTATTAGAATTTCTTTTCTTTCGTTTCTGCAAAACTGCCCGGAACAGCAAGTAAGAAATAATGATTTCCTAAAACTGTTATGTCATTTTGATAAGAATTTTACCTCATTTTATTAATTATTTATTTTATGAACTTATTTTTTGTGCACTCATTCCTTCAGGTAAGCGAAACAGTTTTTTTTTAGTTAGTCTTCGTTGGTACATGTATGCATTGTAACTCAATTTCTTTAATAACTATTTCTTGTTAGTTTTATTTGCTGATTGTATCTATCTAATTGTATTTACTTATTTATTTATTTATTTATTTTGGCAGCCCCTCCTTCATTTAAGTGAAACATTTTTCTTTTCTGTGTTAATTCGCCTTTGGCGTGCATTTCATATTACTATATTCAATTTCTGGTTTTTAAACTAACATTTTGTTTGTTTATTTTTTTACAGCACCCGTTCCTTCGAGTAAGTTAAAATCCAAGTTATCGTTAGTTGTGTCATTTTCGATGTACAGTCATATTTCTTTTTTTTAAAAAATGTTAATACAATGATATATTTATTATCTATTTATTTTCAGCATCCCCTCCAGGTAAGTGATTTTCTATTTATAAAAAAAAGTTTTAATAAAGTGTGATTTTCTTAGTTGTTGACTTCTTAGTGCCGCAGATACGAGATGGAGCAAATGTAAAGTTCACATGTAAATACGATTTTCTTTCTCTCTGAAAAAGTTCACTTTCGCTCTCAAACCTGTCTGATCACTGTTGCAAATTTCCTTTCATAAACTGGCCGTTGTTTTTACTTATTATGTATGTTACATGTACTGTATAGGAAATTAAAATTGAACACGAAAGGTTACGAAACCTAGGGGAGTGTGTCTGTGTGTGTGGGGGGGTTGCTGGGGGCTTGCTCCCCACAAAATTTTCAAATTTATATTAGGGTTTCGGAAATGCCATTTCCAGCGTTTTCCGCTGGACATTACAGTAAATCGATTCGCAGGAAAATGTAGTAGTTGTTTATTTTACCCATCTACTCATCTCCAACGAGTTAATAACAATTTTTTTCAAATTTTTTCAGCTTGTCCAGAGGGTTTTCGCCTAGGCCCAGATAACAAAACTTGCGAAGGTGCGATATTTTCATTTTTAATGTATCCTTTAACTATATTAAAACAAACAAACAAAAGACAAGAACAAAAAACAAGCAGAACATGGTAGTCACTGATTTTAAGGCTATTGCTTGACTATGCTTATTCTCTGTTCTCTAATGGTGAACGATTGAGCACTGGGCAGTAAAGTATACTCTTTTTCAAGCAGCCGCCCTAGAATTTGGGCAGTGATGGTGTGGACCAAATTTGGAAGATGCGAGCGGTATACCATCGATAAGATGATGCAGTGCCCTAATAAACAATCGCAACCTGCCTTCTAGGCAACGGGGCTGCACTCAAGCTGCTTTGACGCGAGTGAACTCAAGAAAATGGTGTAATAGTCTAAGGTTATCAGGAGACGAAATAGCCACATTACTCTCTAAAACTGGACGGACAAATATTCAAGGATATGCAAAACGTATTTGTCGGTGGCTTTCATATACTATTGGGGCACTGCACCATCTTATTGATGGTATCCTCTCGCATCTTCCAAATTTGGTCAGCGCCAGCTGGTTATGGAGAATTATCCGCGGAAAAAAGTTGATCAGAAACGGCGAAATGAATAATAATAACCATTGCTTACCATCGCCAGTATTAATAGGACAATGTTCCGGCCACTTAAGGCATGACTACCGGATTAAATATGCATATTTTGTTAAATGCTATTTAGAACGGTTTGCTTCCATCAGTGATCCTGAAAAGTGAACTACAAATGTGGCTCAACGAAAAAAAAAAAAACCTGAAAGGTGGTTCCAAATAACACGTGACATTGCCTCGTCAATGACGTCACAAAATCAGTTTCCTAAATTAAGAAGGGTTGCAAACCTTAATCTTAGGAATTTTTGCTACCAAAATGTAACATAAACAGTGTAAATTGTAAATCTGCCTTGTATGACTGGAAATGTTATTTATCATATTAGCCATTTAACTAGTTAATAAGTCATGTGACCCTTTTCCCTTCATTTACTGATTCCTATACAACACAAACATACATACAAGGCGAACTTTTTAGCCTCTGAAATGTACCTAAAAGAGCTTGTTGCTCTTTCATTATCTTTTCCCCGTTTCGGAGAAAATATTTTGACCGCCAATTCTCAATTATCAGCCTCGTGACGAAAATTTGAGCTTCAATTTTTAGGATCATTGATAGAAGCAAACCGTTTTGAAAAGCAAATTATCGAAATATGCATATTTAATTAGATAGTCTTTGTGCAGTTTTTATCCCGCTCGATTGAATTAATCTTAAAGTAAATATTCAGTCGACGAAAATCTTTGCTGTATTTTCTTTGCTGTAACTTTTAAGCTCGTCAATTCTTTTATCCTTGTTTGACACGCAGATTATGAATTGTCTACCAAGACACACAAACCTTTCTTTATTCTAAAGAGATCTTAATTGTGATAATATAAAAAAAATCATGTTGTAATGTTTTGTTTTGGTTTGCAATCCATCACGCGCTTTGAATAACATCACGAACGCGCCCTTCTTTAACACACAAAGGTTGGAGACTAAAGTAAAATTTTCCTAAAACTTTAAATCTCAGTAGGAAAAAAATTAAAATGTTATTCACCGGCCTAGGTCGGTCCGTATTGGGAGAAAATATGCATATTTAATTAGATAGTCATGCCTTAAGTGGCCTGAGTGACTCTTGCGGTCAAATAAATGGCATTATTTACCTCGAAAAGTGTAATAATGAACCATGTTTATTTAATATCTCATTTTACTAAATTTATAATAGGCTTTAGTCCTAACGTTGCTATAGATGAAACTTTGCAATAATATTAAAATCATTAATGCAGATGTGGACGAGTGTACCTTAAACACAGATCAGTGCACGCAGAATTGTACAAACACCAACGGAAACTACACGTGCAGTTGTATGTCTGGATACAGACTACAAGCTGATGGAAAAACCTGCCAAAGTAAGAAGACATTTTTACTTTTTTCGTTTCGTAAGGGGTAGAAACTGGTATTCGTGATTAACTGAGTGTAATATGACTGAAAGTACGGGAAAAAAGGCAACCAAACTGACCAAATCCTGTAACCTGTTTTTCAACATTACTGCAAAACGAACGGAATGGCTATTTGACGCGTTTTACCACCTTATCAATCAAACATGTCTTGCAGAAAATCTGGACCCGGTTGCATAAAACGCCCGTGGCAACTACGGGTATACGTATGTGCACTCGGAACTTACGTGAGTTGCATGTTGCATAAAACATTTTTTTACTATACGGCAAAAATAGCTCGTAAACTTACCGGACCTATGTAGATCCCGTATCCTTACTGTTTTTACTTACGTTAAAGAGGTGTATTCCTGAGAAGTGAAAAAAAGCTTTTTCTTTACGTTATTCGTTCTAATGCGCCTTGTTAACCTCTGATGTACACTTTAAAGCCGTCTTTTAGAAAAGAGAAGATCAACTATCATTTTTAGTAGATATTGAAGTAAAATAACGATTGCATGCAAATTTTATTTCAATGAGGGGCTTAAAAGTGTTCGAAAGGACTACAAATTTTCTTTACATAGAGTGGGTCATCAATAAAGTACTATAACAAAGTTACGTGTACCCTTAAGTGACCAAGTAAGTTACCACGTAAAACAGGAACTTACGAGAGTGCTAAGTGCGTTCAAGAGTGCGTTCCATGCAACACCCGTAAGTGAACTCATAACGGATTCGTAAGTGACCTACTTAAGTGACAACTTAAGTGCAAGTTTTTGTGCAACCGGGCCCTGGTTCTTTGCAGGTTCAATTTTAAAAAGTAGAGACTATTTGCACTTTCTACAAAAAAATCTGTGCATGTTGCACTTACCGGCCCACGGAAAAAAACGAGGGACCTAAATCCCATGTATGGTGTAATTTAATTTTATCCAATCAGAAGTCAGTATACTCGCAACTTGCATTGCCTGTGTATGCACAGGCGGCTTTGCGTACAAGGGATTTACTCGTTTTCGTCCCGTCCTGGTTAGCTACCCTCGAGTATCAAATTTAACTTCAAGTCAACTCTCTCTTAACGGACACCTCTTCAAGACAGACACCTCCACAAGTCTATTACTATACTCTCCTTAAGACGGGCACTTCACTAAGATGGATAACGGACACTTCTGAAACTGCCAACGGACACTTGAAAAGTGCGTTATGCAGTGAAAGGTACCTCAAAACGGAAATGTAGGAGCCCTACATGAAAGTAAACTGCAAACCTTTTTATAACTTTGCAGTCTTTCCGAGCCAGTTCGCAGAGTTTACACTGTTACGCTTTTAGACACTAGCCGTGAATGTTTGCTTGTAATGAAAGTTTATTGCACAATAAGAAAAATGATTCTACTTTTCTGTTACAACTCTGGTATCACGTTACTTCGACCTCTATTAGCTTGACCCCGGGCCCTTCCAGGAAGGACAATCGAAGCCGGTCCCAAAGATGTCCGTCTTAGAGAAAGCTGACTGTATTTTCATTTAAAGTCGGGCAAAGAAAAAACTGTAAAAATGGAAAGGGGACCTGCTTTTCTTTTCTCTGCCTCCTCCTTTGGAGGCAGAGGGTGCTTACCATTTACACAAACTAACTAACCAGGTGGAAATCTTAAACATGAATATAAATAAGACTTTGACATTTGACGTGGTGGGAGAACGAACAGCTGCAAGGTATATCCTTATCAGCTGAACAAGGTGAAACGGAGTACAGAAATAGCATTGCCTTAAATCACAGGCCAGTCTACCTCCTACGGTGCTTCCTAAACGGAATGCGCAAATCATTTGATTTCCAATCAAAAGTTCCCATGAAAATTTAGATCAGTCTGCGGATACTGTACGCTTTTCTGATTGCCTCTTCTACTTTTTTTAAGACATTGATGAATGCACAGAAGGTACCAGCGGCTGCAGTCAATTGTGCAATGACAACGATGGAAGTTTTACGTGTGATTGTAGGAGAGGGTACAGTCTACAAAACGATAAAAAGTCTTGTGCTGGTGAGTATTTCGATCAAATCAAATTATGTGGAGTTAACCTGTCAAATGATCTGCATTAGTATTATAAGTTAAACTGTGTTGTTTGTAAACAATGTTTTTTTTTATCAAATGTGTCAGCTACTGAAATGAAGGAACCCATTGTCTCATGAGCTAATTTATCCCTGGTTGACGATAGGCATCATTAGGTGACGTAACGTGAAATACAGCTATATTATTGTTTTCTAAGGTTGCGAGCGGGCGGAATCCTCCAAATCCTGCAATCTGATCGGTTCCGAGAGCGGGCGGTTTTTTTACGATCTTGCCCGCTAACCCGGGCGGAATCGTTGGCAGCTTTATTCACAAGTTTGTTTGTTGTTTGTGAATGAGCAAAACCGGTGATTTTTAACCATTTTTCTTTTAAAACTTGCGCTATTATTAGCATTAGCTAGGGAAAAGTGAATTTTGTTATTCACTTTCATTCGACATTTTTCCTCTGTTTGTAGGTTTGTTTCCCATTTTTGCTGTCTGAATCTAGATTCTGCCGTTTTTCATTGAATTTTACCTCGCTAGTTTTCTACTTTTCAGAAAAGGTTGTTGTCATCGATTGCATCGATAGCTTTCAATCTTGAATGAACAACACAAACAAGTTTTCCAGCAGTCAGTTATCGTCGTGTTTGTTTCCTTGTTTATCCCAGTATAATTGTTTACTTACCCACATCGCCTTCTTTTATTCGAATTCACTTCAAAACCCTAAGATTGGTATGTGTAATTAGCTCTTTTTATAAAGCCTTTGTGCAGTTTTTATCCCGCTCGATTGAATTGATCTTAAAGTAAATATTCAGCCGAAGAAAATCTTTGCTGTATTTTCTTTGCTGTAACTTTTGAGCTCGTCAATTCTTTTATCCTTGTTTGACACTCAGATTGTGAATTGTCTACCAAGACACACAAACCTTTCTTTATTCTAAATGTTTTATTTTAGTTTGCAATCCATCGTGCGCGTTGAATAACATCAACATGAACGCGCCCTTCTTTAACACACAAAGGTTGGAGACTAAAGTAAAATTTTCCTAAAACTTTAAATCTCAGTAGGAAAAAAATGAAAATGTTATTCACCGGCCTAGGTCGGTCCGTATTGGGAGAAAATATGCATATTTAATTAGATAGTCATGCCTTAAGTGGCCTGAGTGACTCTTGCGGTCAAATAAATGGCATTATTTACCCCAAAAAGTGTGATAATGAACTATGTTTCTTTAATATCTCATTTTACTAAATTTATAATAGGCCTTAGTCCTAAAGTTGCTATAGATGAAACTTTTTAATAAGACTAAAATCCGCATTAATGCAGATGTGGACGAGTGTACCTTAAACACAGATCAGTGCACGCAGAATTGCACAAACACCAACGGAAGCTACACGTGCAGTTGTATGTCTGGATACAGACTACAAGCTGATGGAAAAACCTGCCAAAGTAAGACGACTTTTTTACTTTTTTCGTTTCGTAAGGGCTAGAGACTGGTATGCGTGCTTAACCGAGTGCAATATGACTGAAAGTACGGGAAAAAAGGCAACGAAACTGACCAAATCCTGTAACCTGTTTTTCAACATTACTGCAAAAAGAACGGAATGGCTATTTGACGCGTTTTACCACCATATGAATCAAACCTGTCTTGCAAGAAATCTGGACCTGGTCGCATAAAACGCCCGTAGCAACTACGTGTATACTTATGTGCACTCGGAAATTACGTGAGTTGCATTAAATCACTTAAGTGGCTCACTTAGGGAATTCACTTAAGTGACTGCACTTACTATTTTAGTAAGTGTTCACTTAACTGTCGTTTATGCAACAGAAATTGCGGGTGTTGCATAAAACAATTTTTACTATACGGCAAAAATAGCACGTAAACTTACGGGACCTATGTAGATTCCGTATCCTTACTGGTTTTACTAACGTGAAGGAGATGTATTCCTGAGAAGTGAAATAAAGCTTTTTATTTACGTTATTCGATCTAATGCGCTTTGTTAACCTCTGATGTACACTTTAAAGTCGTCTTTTAGAAAAAAGAAGAACAACTATCATTTTTAGTAGATATTGAAGTAAAATAACGATTGCCTGCAAATTTTACTTCAATGAGGTGCTTAAAAGTGTTCGAAAGGAATAAAAATTTTCTTTACATAGAGTGGGTCATCAATAAAGTACTATAACAAAAGTCACGTATACCCTTAAGTGAGCAAGCTTAAAGTAAGTTACCGTGGTAACTTACGGGCTCACTTAAAGGCACACGTAACTTTGATATAGTGCTTCATTAATGAATCGCTCTTTTTTTTTAAGCTAACTATCGGTGAGTGTAAATAAAGTTTTAAGGCGTTTCGACCACTTTTAAGCCTCTCAAAAAAATGAAATTTGCATTCAGACGTTATTTTTCTTCAATATCTACTGAAAATGATAGTTCTTCTTCTTTTTTTCACAACGTCGGCTTTAAAGTTTACATCAGAGGTTATAACAAAGCGCATTAGAACGAAGAAGGTGAAGAAAAATACTTTTTTTCACTTCTCAGTAAAAGAACTCGTTAATTTTAGTGAAAACAGTACGATACGGGACCTACAGAGGTCCCGTAAATTTACGTGCTATTTTTCCCGTAAAAAAGGTTTTCTGCAACATCTGCTATTTCTGTTGCATAAACGACACTTAAGTGAACACTTACAAAAATCGTAAGTGCAACCACTTAACTGAATTCCCTAAGTGGACCACTTAAGTAATTTAATGCAACTGACTTAAGTTACGAGTGCAACCGGGTCCATCTTTGCAGGTTTTAAAAAATAGAGACTATTTCTACTTTCTACAACAAAATCTGTACATGTTGCACTTACCGGCCCACGGAAATAAACAAGGGACCTAAATCCCATGAATGGCGTAATTTAATTTTATCCAATCAGAAGTCAGTATATATGCAACTTGCATTGCCCGCGTATGGACCTGCGGCTTTGCCTGCAAGGGGTTTTACCCGTTTTCATACCGTCCTGGGCCCGGTTGCTGCACTTAAGTGCCCACTTAGGTAGGTCACTTAAGAATCCGTTATGGGTACACTTACGGGTGTTGCATAGAACACACTTAGCACTCTCGTAAGTTTCTGTTTTACGTGGTAACTTACGGGCTCACTTAAGGGTACACGTAACTTTGTTATAGTACTTTCAATTATGAATTTGACTCACTCAATTTTTTTAAATTAAGTGAACCATCGGTGAGTGTAAAGAAAGTGTCAAGTCGTTTCGAACACTTTTTTAAGCCTCTCATTCTACATAACGTTTACATGAAATCGTTATTTTACTTCAAATGATTTAATGCAACTCACTTGTTACGGTACACGTTTTACCGGGCGTTTTTATGCAACCGGGCCCTGGTTAGCTACCTACAAGTCTCAAATTTAACTTACAGTCAACTCTCTCTTAACGGACACCTCTTCAAGACAGACACCTCCCTAAGTTGAATACCTGCTGTCGGTGCCTGTCGTTTTTCAGTCATTTTACTATTACTATACTCTCCTTAAGACAGGCACTTCACTAAGAAGAATAACGGACACTTCTGAAACCGTCAACGGACACTAGAGAAGTGCGTTATGCAGTGAAAAGTACCTCAAAACGGAAATGTAGGTGCCCTACATGAAAGTAAACTGCAAACTTTTTTATAACTTTGCAGTCTTTCCGGGCCAGTTCGCAGAGTGTATGCTGTTACGCTTTTAGACCACTAGCCGTAAACGTTTGCTTGTAATGAACGTTTATTGCACAATAAGAAAAATGATTCCACTTTTCTGTTACAATACGGCTTAAGGTTTTACTGGTGTCACGTTACGTCGACCTCTACGAACCTGACTCCGGGCCTTTCCAGGAAGGACAGTCGGGGCCGGTCCCAAAGGTGTCCGTCTTAGAGAAAGCTGACTGTATTATCATTCAAAAAGGGAATCCGGTGTCATGGAAGAAAGTCGGGCAGAGAAAGATCTGTAAAAACGGAAAGGGGACCTGCTTTTGTTTTCGCTGCCTCCTCCTTTGGAGACCCATAGTGCTTACCATTTACACAAACTGACAGGGTGGAATTCTTGAACATGAATATAACACTATGAAATTTGACGTGGTGGAAGAACGAACAGCTTCAATGCATATCCTAATCAGCTGAAACGGAGTATTGAAATGGCATCGCCTTAAAACACAGCCCAGTCTACCTCCTACGATGCTTCCTAAACGGAATGCGCAAATCATTTGATTTTCCAATCAAAATTTCCCATGAAAATTTAGATCAGTTTGCAGATACTGTGTGCTTTACTGATTGCCTCTTTTTTTTTTAAAGACATTGACGAATGCACAGAAGGCACCAGCGGTTGCAGTCAATTGTGCAATGACAACGACGGAAGTTTTACGTGTGATTGTAGTGGCGGGTACAGGCTACAAAGCGATAAAAAATCTTGTGCTGGTGAGTATTTTGATCAAATCAAATTATGTGGAGTTAACCTGTCAAATGATCTGCATTAGTCTTATAAGTTAAACTGTGTTGTTTGTAAACATTGTTTTTTTAATTCAAATGTGTCAGCTACTTTACTGAAATGAAAGAACCAATTGTCCCATGAGCTAATCTATCCCTGGTTGACAATAGGCGTCAATAGGTGACGTAACGTGAAATACGGCTATAATATTCCTGGGGATTACTAGCAGCAATATACCTGCTCATCTCTAATTCTAGTCTTTCTCATTTATTTTCTTTTCCGCTTTAATATATGGGCAGACATTGACGAATGTAGCGAGAACTCAGACACATGCGACAAGTCAACTACCACTTGCAAAAACTCGGTAGGAAGCTACTCTTGCCCATGTCTGTCTGGCTATGAAAGATATAATAAGCATAAGTGCCAAGGTAAATTGTTATTTTATTTATTCACTTGTTTATTGGTTTATTTATGCCTCTCCCCAACCTAAACTGTTCTTGCGAAGAATTTTGCCTCCATTGTCTGTGCTCTGATTACCGGCCACTCAAGACAAGAAAAGAATGGGGTGAAATAGTTGTGGGAAACTGGACAATAAAACCAAAAATCAAAAAGAAGAAGGCAAGAAAGATAAATATAGGAGTCGTCGCATACGATATTCGCGGCTGGTTACCCAACCAGTTTCTAATTGCGAACGGCAGGACTTATATTGGGTGCATCAACGATTTTCGCTAGATGTTGTCGAGATAAGTATTTCTAGTGTTTAATTATAATCAAGTAATTCACCAAAAAGCTGATGACAAAGTTCTACAAAAGAAAAAATAAGGTTAGTGGACAGGAGGCAGGCAGAAATTCCAAACGCCTTTAGTGCGTGGAAGCATGAAACTATCAAGAAAAAGCCACGCTACCACGTCACGTGACACCTTATCGAAAACTTCAAAGGAGATAACAATTCAATAAATTTATCCCATTACCCAGTACCACGCATAATTAGTGATTACTGAAAATGGACAATAAAGGTCAGAAAAACAGAGAAAGAATTCCTACGAGGCCTAACGCTTAACTCTTGTCTCAACGTCTCTTGCGATTTTTTAATCACATAAAAGGCAAAAGGCATTTATTTTTTTCGTTTGTTTCACACAATCTCCATCAGCAAATACTGTCTTCGGTGTTAAACACATGTCCTATAGAAATAAGTCAAAAATTCATTCCATTGGTAACTCTCCATGGTTAAGATGTAAGGGTCTCTTATTAAAAAAGCTATACCTACAATCCAATTCTATTATTAATAGAAATTTGTACCACTAATTTCTATCCAGTAATCAATTGCGTAATTAATGATCCTCCCATCCGCCCAATAGAGACCTTTAGATTCTAAGACGAGTACGACAACGAGTACGAGATTTTCTCAATACTAAGTAGTAAGCACGCGTCAAAAACCAGCGTCATTTTAGCGGGAAAACGTGGTAGCCGTCGTCACTCCGACTATGAGTTTTAGCGCGAATGTCGAAGTGGGGAAAATAAGTTATCAGATGTTTGAAGTTTTATCATTTTGCGATCGGGAGAAATTGTAACCTCCTTCACCAAAGGTAACAGTGCTATAACTTTTCTGGTGAAAAATGGTAAAATGAAGCTTTCCGGGGAGTCTATATTTTGAGAATGCGCGAAAAAACTTTAAGTCAAATCTCGTACTCGTAGTCGTACTCGTCTTAGAATCTAAAGGTCTCTGATCTGTTCTCATCTAAACCAACTCACGTCGATTTAGTATTTCAAGAATATTGTTTCTTTCAATTTCCTCACTCCACCCGTTTTTGTCGGATAGACATCGACGAATGTACGATAAATACCCATCATTGCGTGCTGTACTCCACCTATTGCTATAACACTAATGGAAGTTACGAATGCAAATGCCGCTCAGGATTTGAACCAGATTCCAACTCAATATACCAGTGTAAAGGTAAATGACTTTCAGTTAATATTCGAAGCAGATAGACCTTTTTGCTAATGGGAAGTAATGGGACGTGAATTGAATATAAGACACCTTGAGGCCCCCTTGTAACGAGCGCCAAGTCAACTCGTCGACGGAAAAGAGTATAACTGAAGCAGAAACATTTACACGTTAATGGAGGAAAAGAGGCTGTAGTGGCTCGTGTTCTGTGTTATGTCGAGTTATGTGTTATGTTACGCGTTATATGTTTAATATGTCCATGCTGGTCATAACTCACGAAGGAACTCGAAGGAAGTGACGCAACTGACTCACAGCTTCAATCAAGTGATTCACAGGTCGATTCACAAAACGATACGCAATTGGACTGTTCTAAAATAATCGTAGTTTTGTGGTACTGTTCTAGACGCAGCCGGGGAAAAACGTTACAGTACAATCGGAGGGAATTCGTTTAAATGTTAGTAGAGTGGGAAATTGGTCATAATTTTTTAAGTGACCAGGAACACGAAGCTAGAGCTAACTTTACTTTGTTGGCAGGCGGGAGGACGCTACGTAGTGTTACACTACGTAAGACTCATGTTTCAGTCCCCTTCTGATAATTATTGCACAATCTCTTAATTTGACCTAACGGTCATTATTATCAAAGAACACCATTCCAAATCGCTAGTCTTTATGTTCCTTACTATTCTTCCTCGCTACTTGTTGGCCTGTTGATTGATCAGTGAAAAATAGCATTAGAGCTTTTTCAATGAAAGCTCTCTCTTAAGTGCCTACAGACACACCTTTAGAGTACCAAGTTGTGCGCGTGAACCAGCGTCATTTTGGCGCGAAAAGGTGGTATTCGTCCTCATCATTATTACAGGTTTCGGCGAGAAAGTCGCCGTGGCAGAAAATAGAAATATGTAATCAACGGCTAGAAGTTTTATCATTTTGCGAGCGACCGGGAGAGGGCTTAACATCCTTCAATTAAAATAACCATGCAAACTCTTCTGGTAAAAAAAAAAACAACAACAACAACAACAAACAAACAAACAAACAAAACAATAAAGCTTTCCAGGGTGTATATTTTTGTGAGAATACGCTAAAAAGAAAAAAAAAAGTTTATTCTCATCCTCGCAGTCGTCCTCGAACTCGAATCTAAAGATCCCTAGTGACTGCCGGTCTAATCTTCTATACATTCATAATTTTACTTCAGATATCAACGAATGCTTGGTGAATAACGGTGGGTGTAGCCACTATTGCACTAACCTGGATGCCACGTTTATCTGCACTTGCCCGACTGGCTATGAACTTGATTCGTCGAAGTTGAACTGTGTTGGTAAGATTTCTTTGCATTTCACATTTTTGCTTCGTCGCACCCTTAATGTACACTGGAGTGAGATTGTAAGGGGCAACCATCTAGGGGCTGATTGAACAAAACTTGGGAGTCATCTGGAACCCCCACAGGTTTTGCAGGGTGAATGACATCATCACACAATGGCTAAAGGTTGAAGGAGCATTTCAACTAGTTAAATTTTGTACGAGTGTTTTTAGGCCTAAGTAGAAATTCCCTTAAAGTTAGTCAATCATTTCAGGATCAAATGTCGAAAATAACTTTGGAAGTCGTGCAAAAGCCTTAAAAAAATAGATAATATTTTTAGATAATTATAAGTACTTAAAAATTTGATTGGGACAAAGCTGCTAAAGTCCGATATTCTGGAAAAGAAAGAGACATGAAAAGCCCAATGATTCCTTTATATAAAAATAACTAAACCAAGTCTTAACTATAATTTAGTTTAGGTTAAAAAATAGTGATTTACTTTTTTAAAAAAAGTTTGGCCTAGGCCTCACTAGTTTATTTAAGACTCAATAAAACAGCTGCATATTTATGTCTGTACCTTTATCTAATAGTGCTTTGTTGAAAATAACTAAAAATTATTTCAATTTTAATTCAAAAGACAAAGATGAATGCGCCCTCGCTAACGGTGGATGTCAGCACACGTGTACAAACACTAATGGAAGCTATAGGTGTTCCTGTAACAGTGGATACCAGTTAAAACCTGATGGCTTACGTTGCGAAGGTAGAATTATGATAGTTCTAAATCACGGTCTTCATACAAACTAGCGTATCTTCCTGATTGCCTCGACTTTTGGAAGTATGATTGTGAAGATCATGCAAGACGATCGATATCCCGACAATAATTTTGAGATCCCCCAACATTAGCTAACATTAATAATCTAGCTCCCTGTCTATCAAGGGCTTTCGCGTTCTCCCCGATATTCCGTATCGCCCACAATCGCATTAGTGTTCCCATGTGATCGTCTTAATCGCCCGGGCACATTGTGAAGACTACTTCGTTACATTGTCTGCTTCGATTTTTAGGCGCGTAAAATTTACGTGCGTAAGTACGGAAAAATTACGCGACAGTGCAAATCCAGTCCCCGCTGTAATGTTTGGCGTGATTTCTTGTGTTCGTATTATTTACGAATGCACCGTGAAGCAAAAGACCTTTCCCTATTTATGTGTAATCATTTTTCTGTGGTTTTGTCACCTACATGTACTTTGCTTCTGAACTTTTCTTCTCGTGCAAACCTAGGTCGATTTGTATTTGCAGTTAAGGTACACTGTAGCTACTTATTACAGGTGACAAATCAGCCTCACCAAGGCTTACATCGTGAGCTTTTGGAATACACGTGACAGATTAACACAGAACTTTTCTGAAGCACACTACATTCTTTTCATTGTGAAAGGTTTGAACCCAGTAGTCATTTCAAAAGTAGGTTGAGTTTGATCGTCCGGGTGAACGAAGTATAATACCATCAACTGACGTGATACAACTCACTTCGACTCTGAAGATGACTACCGCACAGGTTGTCGAAACGTCAGTCGCTGTCAACAACAACAGTCCTACTCAGGACTACTTTCACCCGGACGATCAAACTCAACCTACTTTTGATTCTTTTCATTTTTAGATATTGATGAGTGCACGGATGGTTCGGCCCAGTGTGATCCTCAAAGTACCACCTGCAATAACCTTATTCCATTATACGAGTGCAATTGCAAGAAAGGATACGAGGTCATACCAAACAACAAGTATCAATGCGAACGTAAGGCATAATTACTTTTTCAAATATAGCGTGGGTCCAGAGCCCGAGTTGGTTCGGATATGCTTAGTATTGTTGATAGGTATTTATTAACTATGACGTTTTGGGCATCTGATGAAATGTTAATCTTACGTTTGATTTCTGTTAGTATTTTCAGCCAGCGTGCAGGAATTCACCGTATGCCAGTGATAGGTGGCTTTTTAAATATAATGTATGAAATGAATGGCAGACAACCCTCCCCAAAAACATTTAGCCCCAGACTACTAGCCCCCAATATGAAAAACTTATGCTGCTTTAGACAAACAGTTTGTAACTCTCAGAAGGTTTATTCCGCAGAAGACTTTAATTAATTGCCAGGCAGAAAAAAACTTACGCTCAATATTTTATCGATCGTATCCGATCACGTATCGAATATACTTTAGTTTAACGTCTTTCATTTCCCAATCTTACCAAAATTTAACTACCCTAACTAGTACTTGGCATATACTGAAGCTAACTTATCTATTTTATGACTGCAGTATATACTACACCACAACTACAGTCATCAACAGAAGTCCTTGGGATAGTGATGTAATATTCGAAATTTTCTGTAATTTAAAACAGTGAAAACTTTTCGAAAATATCTTGCTGTTCTCCCTTTCCCCACCCTATGCAATATTGGAGCTCGGAAAAACACGCGTGCAAGATTGTTTTTGGAGTAGGGGAGGGGTTGGGTATGTGTAATTTAATGTAAGCCCATGGAAATTTGTCCAAGACTTTAGTCCATCATTGTAACTAACTTATTTTGTGATTGTAAAATATTTGAACAATTTGCGATTGTATCTGTTGAATAACGATTTTACAATGTATGCAAAAAATAGTGGTTTAAGAAATTGTTATGAATCCTGAGGTTGTGTGAAAATTCGTAATGTTCTCCTTCTTCTAGCTAAAAAATGTTCCGCCCTCGTCGAGTCAGCAGGAACCACAGTCTCTCCAAGCAGATGTCTGCAGAACCAAGGCAGTGTCGTCGGTGATGTGTGTACATTCAGTTGCACTGCAGGATATGAACTGCCAAGCAGTGTGAACACTTTAGTGTGTCTCACTACCGGAGGTTGGAATGGCTCCGTAATCAACTGTCAGAGTAAGTAGACGCGTGAACTTGACATTCATACCTTCCACGCAATATTTTTGAGTGACATCCAGTATAATTCATGATCGTTTCAAGAATTTCGTTCAAGCAGAAGACCACCCGAGGTCAATCACTCTTTGAATTTTCCCCCCGTTCCTTTTAAAGCCAAAGTTGCCTAACAGATTGCAGATAAACTGAGGGGAAGTAAAAGACCAACTCCACTTCAGACTATTATAATCCCGACCACTTCTGTCCTTTCGATCTTTGCCTAAACGAGTCGGTTAAAAATGTACCAAGTGGATGGACGGCGATCTGTAAAGCGTTGGGGACGGGAGGCGCCTTTCATTCGACGCCTTATCCCTGGCACACTTGAAAGTAAGGGCTAGATGGAACCTTGCAAAAAAAAGAAAAAGTGGGAACTGTAACACTTTCCGAAAGGGCACCATAGAATAGGCATGAAGCTCACCACCCCTCTGAATAGCTTGAAATTTTGAAAGTTTTGGCCTATAACGGCTTGGATGCAGAAACTATCATTTAAACAGTTTAACTAGATTTTGTCGTTTTTGACTTGACTTGTGATCTTGATTTTCTCTGACAGAAATAAGCTGTCCAAAGCTGACTGCTCCTGCGAATGGTGGTCTCAGTCCAAGCAGTTGCGCAACAGTTGGAAACGTTTTTGACGAAATATGTTATTACACCTGTTCCTCCGGCTATCAGTTGTCTGGGATTTCGCAAAAGAAATGTCAAAGCAATGGACAATGGGACAGTCAGGAGGAACCAACATGCCAGATAGGTAAATAAAAAACACGGGATGAAAAAACTGGATTTGCACAATTTGCACCTTGCAAATATGTCGCAATTATATAAATACTAAGGAGAAAATATATGGCAAAGATGACAAATGCAACATTTGCCTGGTTATTTACACTCCCTGCTCATTGGTATGCGAATGTTGCATTTACCATCTTTGCCATATTCTTTCTTCTCAATATTTATATATTTGCGACATATTTACAAGAAGCAAATTTGTGCAAATCCATTCAAATCCGTCCAGTCAAAGATCAGGGTGCCAGATAGGTAAATAAAATGCACGGGTAAAACTTCATATCCCGTATATAATTTGTTGTCACATTTTTGTTTTTGTTTAGTTTTTGTTTACTTGTTTGTTTGTTTGTTTTTCAAGTAAAATAACAAGAGAAACATCCACTGAGAAACCATATGCCTAAACTGACAATCACAGCACACAATCTAAGACACAAATCTAGTCACCGGCCGAAATTAAACTCGGATCGAGTGAAAAACTCTTAATTTATTTATTATTTAATTTATTTATTTGTAAATATAATTTAGATCTGTAATTATTACAATGTAACTTAGTTCAAACTTGGAAGTTCTGCATCATAAGATATGTAGGTTTTTTTATTTTATGAATTAATAAATATCAAAAGTATATAACTGATTTAATAAAGGTTGCTTTGGGCGTTGGGAATTGTGCATTGGGAAGCTATTGTTGGGTGGTCACTCAATAAATCATTGCATTGTTCCATATGCCCAATGCCCAATTGCCAATGACCAATTACCAAAGCAACCTTTTCGATTGAGCTGTATACACACTCAGTGTTCTTGGTTATTCAAGCAATCTGATTGGTTCGCTATCTCGGACTATGACCTTATATTCACCGCGCTAGGTGACAAATATAAAGCAAAAGAAAAAATTATCGTTTGTCGTAAAATCAGTTTTTTGCGAAAGTTTCACAGTAAAAACTTTTTGAAAATACAAGAATTTGCTAGTGTTGATGATTCTGAAGGTAAGAAAAGACTTCATGGTGTTTGAACGGCGTGATTTATTGTGAAGTGATTTACTGTAGCTGAGCAAAATTAACGAGGCTGCTTTGTCACTGTTTAGTGAACTCGGGATTTCCCCACAAGACAAATTTTGCCAATAAATAGAAGTTAATTTTTGGAGAAAAAGGAAGGCAAATATTTTCGAAAATCGTACGTGCCAGCAAGTTTTAAACAAGGCAAAGAACAGTGCAGATAGACAACACTCACCTCGATCGTGGCCGCTATTGAAAGCATTTGCAAGAAGCAACAACAACAACAACAAAATTTCTCATTCACGGGGGGTTGACGGAAAGAAATAAAGCTCCACGTTTCTTCTTAGAGTGAACAGTAATTTAAGCTTTCGACATTTTCTTTTAAATTATTGATGCTAAAGCTTACAAAATGATTAAAACTATGATTTGCCATGTTTGAAGATACTGTAAAGATCTAACTTTTGCGCATCTTCTGTTTACGGCTACATGTTTACGCATGAATTCATCCGTTAATCAAACTAATCGTTTTTAATGGTTGAAAAATCCCCTCGACCTCCTCTCGGGAATTATTCAACAATACTAACTGAGCCTGAGGTGAATAGTTGTTAATTGTTGTTGTTGTTGTTATTGTTATCATTATTGTTATTATTATTATCCCATATCCCGAAAATCAACAGTTGACTGTAAAAGAGACCCAATGACGTCACGCCAAGCTCAGCTGTTTTAACACTACAGAGTTGATGAAAATGTTGGAAAATGTCAAAGACGAAAAACCCGCAATATTACCTAAAAAGAACATAAAAAGCCATAATTCTCCTCAAAGGATGACGACTATTATAAAGTAATATTAAAAAAGTAATATTAGTTCATTTATATTTTGAAACTATCGAGAAAACAGGCAATTGTTTTATAGACGGAAATTTTACATGAAGGTATGATATGAGCATGGAATTATCGTATGACATGAAGAATTTTAAAAGAAATATACAATGTATATCTGAAAAAAGGGTGTTATCTCCATCGGCATTTATCATTTGCAGATAACATAATACTCCTTAATCTGCAGAATTAAAATTCGTCCTATCATACTCCGCCTTATTTAGTCCTTATCAAATATCACTTGATCATAGTTTCTCCGGTCAGTGACATATGGTAATCGGGAAACAAAACATGCATAGGGGGAATCCGACTTCTACCACCGGTAGTCAAATCCAGCACCTTCTAGTTTAGTCCAGATGCACTCAGTTCCACTGAGCTAGACTTGTAACAAACATCTTGCATAAAGCTAATACTGGAATATCCATAAGTCACATATTGATTCACAGTAAGTTATCAGCCTGGCCCCAGTTGTTCAAAAGTTGAATAGCGCTATCCACCGGATAAATCACTATCCAACGGATAAGTATTTGGGAAACCTGTTGCGCTGTCCAGTGGATAGTGATTTATCCGGTGGATATATAGCATCATCCACCTTTTGAAAAACCGGGGCCTGGCTATAATATATGGGCTAATAATGACTGGAAGCTAATTTTGTATTTACACAATTTTACAGTTTACCCCGACCCCTGGATCACGTGCCCAGACAATGTAATTATTACTCTGTCTCCTGGCGCCAACACCGCTGATGTTTCCGCCCTACTCGGAAGTCCAAAGTCTAATCAACCTGCAGAGAGGATAACAATCACACCTGCACAATACATCTCTAGTAAAATTTTCCCGGCGGGAACAACAACTTTGACTTACACAGCAACGAATCAAAATGGAAAAACTGCCCAATGCAACGTCGCCGTCCTTGTCCAAGGTAAATGTTTACCATGTGAAGGGGATAAAAATATCTAATATATGAGTGGTGGGCAGCTATGCAAATTAAATGTCTTGGAACAAAGGAATTTTTAAGTAAGAAGAGATGTCAATCCCCACAGGATTTTTTTCTTTACACCGATATGACCGCCGTTTTATTGTTTTGTACACAAAAAGGGCCGGCGCGGCGTCGTGTGAAAATTAACAAAAAGATTCCATGTCGCCGTGCGCCTGTTCAGTAATAGATCACAGATGACGTCAAAATGTGGTTAAAAAAAAGAAGAGACACACGAGCCGCAGGCGAGTTTGTGACTGATGTTTTCACCACATTTTGACGTCCTCTGTGATCTATTACTGAACAGACCCATGGCAACATGGAATCTATTTGTTTTATACAATGATCAGAAAAGAAAAAGACCGATATATATACATGCCTCGCACCGCTTGACTGTTCGACGATTTGTGCTAGTTTAGGCATTTTTAAGTCCCAAACGCTAAATTTCATCTTTGCTTCTTTTTTCGTCTTTATCGACTTGTATACAGTTTCTTCAAAAAGCCTTTCAACGCCTTTTCTTGCTCAAAGCAGAATAATGGCGAAAACATTTTGCAAAACATCGAGTCTCTCGTAGCGATGACACACGATGGCAACTGTTGTGAAGATTTCTTGTAGTTTAGGCATTCTTAAGTTGTAAAGAACTCTTTTTCTTTCCTTTTCTCCATTTTTTTCTTTTAAATAGCTCTTGCTAATTCTTTTTTGAGGCTTTCACTTGCTTTAATCTGAAATAATCTCACAAACATTTTCAAAACCGCGCGCCACGTTAAACAAAACAAAGAAAACAAGTTTCCCGTGACGACATCCGTGTATCTGTACTCCAATGGATCATGGGCAACGACCAATCACACCGCGCGTAGCATTCACATCATTGTACAAGGATCTATGGTGAATAGCACACAGAAAATAGACATCATTGCTATCCAATGGCGTACGATTATCTTTGAAATATCTTCATACAAAGTAATTCAGTAACACCAAGGTTTTTAAGGGATTTGTAATAGATTAATTAAAACAAGATATTTTTACATCAGCCTCAACTTTATTTGCGACGTAAACCAGTAAAAGACGTCAGCAAAGGTTATCAGTATTTTTCCTATAGTTCCCTCTTGAATATTATTTATGCATAATTTTTATTATGACTTAATTATAGTTACTTGTTTACTCCAACATATGAAGGGTTATGTTTACAAATTTTTCTCATTTTAAAATTTGAAGTACGTTGAATTTACAAAACCATTTGTTTAATGAGATATTTGGCCAACATATGCACTGTCCATTTGAACATGCAAACTAGGTTGCCTAATTTCTGTATTTCGTCAGGCCTCAAGCTGTTTATATTAAGACAATTTTAGTTCATTTTGTTAATTCTGAATGATGCTAAGGCGACATTAAACGGTTGCGGAAAACTTTCTTCGCTAATTTTTGTTCTTACAAACGAAACGCCCTTTTTTTAGTGTTAAAGTATTTAACGTCAAAGTACGAATTGTGGACACTAATCTTGCTTCTTTTACTAAAGAAGAAACCGCTACTTTACGTGGTCATCCCAACCACTCGAAGGACAGACCGTTTGAAGGACAAAGACAGTACTTTCCTTTTTTCGGATATCAATTCAAGGCTTTACAGCCTGAGCTAATCTTTCTTATCCTGTCACGGTTACGATAATTATTTTAAAATTGCGCAATGTATTTTAGAAAGCTCCTGGTTGTATTTCATTTGCTTATTTCACTATGTCAACAGATACAGAAAAGCCAAAAGTTTCAAACTGTCCAACGAATATCTACCAAACAACAACAGCGGACTCAGTAGCCGTGACATGGACCGCACCCACTTTTACCGACAACGTCAAGGTGATAGAAGTAACGTCCACAAAGAACCCAGGTGACACGTTTACCGTAGGGTCCACTAATGTGCATTATACCGCAACGGATGGTGCATCAAACTCACAAACGTGTTCATTTACTGTTACCATCAAGAGTAAGTATGTTTATATAGTACCCTTAAAATTAAATGCGCTCATAGTCTGAAGTGTATATTATCGCTAGAAATCCCGGAAGTCGCATTCCGTGCATATTACATCCAGACCGTTTGTTAATGCTCTTAACCGCTGATTTATGTTGCTCATACTCGCGTGAAGGGCTCATATTTTAGTGACAGATCGAGTGGTAGAATTCGCAGTTGTTTTGCGCCAAGTAAGAGCCGCTGGCTAAAAGTATTGCCGAAAAAGTAATTGCCCATGAAATGAGCTTCCGAACATGCGTGTTGGAGAAAAATCAAGCAAAGGAAGGCGGAAATATCGTAGTTCAAAGACTGTGGTTTTGGGGGTTTTAGCGTGGATTGCTGCATGTGATTTTATCGGTGCGTTTTTTCGTCATTTTCAAATGCGCAAAGTAAACATCAAAATCAGTCGGACGAAGCCGAAAATCGAAAGGTTACTCCGGCTGTTCTGTTTTTTCTTTCCGTGAAACCAATTGCACTTTTATTCCATACCATTAGTTTCACCCGCAATCGCTGTTTATAAACAATGCGTTTTCGGTTTTTCGAGTAACTCCCTCTCTACGCCTTATATTTTTTGGACGCTAAACTGCTCACAAAACATTGTAAAAAGTAAACATGAAATTCGAGGTATCCACTTTAATTTTTGTACGGTATCTTTATTGATACATGAGTTTAACATGAACCGGTTGCACATTCTTTCTTCAACAAATTGGAGAGGAGATATTTCTCGAAACTTTTTAATCTCCATACATTTCTTTGCTGTTGTTGCGCTCGCTTCCATTGGAATTTTACCGCTGAATTCACTGATCGCTGGCTCAAATGTCCCGTATAAAGAACTGGTTTACAATGATGCAATGATCTGATTATTTACGTCAGTAGTAGCTGTTGATTGTACACCCGAAAACAAAAAGAAAACCAGTAATTAAATCCTGTTAGCCAAAGATGTAGTTAATTTAAGGTCACAAAAGCTACTCAAAAAACTTCATCTCGCTCTTAATAGTGAAAAACGATGATTATAAGTAACCGCCGGAAAACGAAGACGTCATGATGAGCACTGGATAATGTGCTTTCTCCCTCGTACCAAATTTATTGTGCATGGAACTACAGTGGAACTGGCTTTCGTTACTTTTAGGGAGCTTTCGTTCTGGAGTGGAAAATAAGTAAGTGTGCGAGCAAATTGACAAGTTAAATATGACGAGGAAAATTATGTGTTATGTTCGACAACAAAGAAAGAAAAAAGTTCCCATACTGGTCGTTTCTTGATGCATCTTTTAGCCACGAAGAATAAATATCGCAGTCTGGACATTTCTTAGTAACTTTTTTTTTTTTAAATTTCTATTTTAGCCAATTCACCGTAGATTCAAGCCAGAATAATACAGTAAATAACGCATAATGATTCATGTTTTTTTTCGTTCTACATTCTATATTTGACGTACACATTCTTCTGCATGTTGTCGCATAAACTCGTCATTTTGCACGTGCATTCAGGTTGTTTTTATTAGCAGCCTTGCACCTTGCACCTATCCCGTAGTCACGGTGACCGTTGGACGCCACCGACCTAGCAACCCTTTCCTTCCATTTGATTTTGTTTTCTGATTCTCTAAATGGCGTCGCAAAACTTCAACCCTGTCCACTCAGAAATGTTATTCTTACAACGCTTCTTTTGTCGGCCCCTTCTCTTCCCTCCTTGCACTATTCCTTGTAAAATTGTCCTGGCAAGCCCTGCTTATCTTGATACATTCCCAACCCACTTTTTCTTGCGTTTCTTTACCGTGGTTAAGACGTTATCATAAGGCCCGATGGCTTGCCTAATTCTGTCTCTGACTGCATCTTTGGTGATGCAGACTCTGTAACCTATGAGATTCCAAGCAGTTTCCTAAAGTATTTCAGTGGACTGCAATTTCTTCAGGATGTCCGCTGTCGCAGGCGTACCACAGTACTGAGATAACCAGGGAGCGCATAAGTCTGATCTTTGAGCTTAGAGATATACGCTTATCGTTCCAGATGGTCTTCAGTCTCGTTAGTGCTGCTTTTGTCTAAGCAATTCTGAACAGTACTTCATGCTTGGAACCTTGATCTGCGACGACTGCGCTCAGATACTCAAAGCTGTCAACCTCGTCTAATTTTTCACCGATGATTCTGATCTCAATGCTGATGCTATTTGTGTTGTTGGTCATTAGTTTGGTTTTCTTTTTGCTAATTTCCACGCCAAAGGCTGCAGAGGTCTTATCCAGGCGATCCACCAGGGAGGCTAGTTCCTCCTCGTTTCCTGCCAAGTCATCAATGTCATCGGCAAAACGTTAGTGACGGTCCCTAAAAGTAACGAAAGCCGTCCGATGCATTTTTCAACTATTTAGCCCAGACTGGCCCGCGACATACCTTTAACTTCGGACGAGGAGTCTATTTATTTAAACAATATTTCTGAAAATTACAAAAAATTCTGTTTTCGTCCAACTACTACCAGTTTTGTCTTCACCCCAATCTAAATAGATTGTCAAAAACTAAAGCAGCAGGGCTAGATAATATCTAGGTTGATTCGCAAGTGTGCTGATATTATTTCAGGCCCGTTATGCGACCTGTTTGATAAATCTCTGATGTCTGGCATATTTCCTAACGACTGGAAATGTGCCAGAGTGACTCCGTTGTTTAAACAGGGTGACTCATTTGATTTAAACAACTACTGTCCTATCTTAGTCACTTCCGTATTCGCCAAAGTGTTCGAAGGGATTGTGTACCATCAGTTAATACAACTCTTTAAATACTGAAGAAATCATCTCTAAACAACAATCTGGTTTCTGGTCTTTACTGTTACTGCTCTTCCAGAAGCCACTAACAGTTGCTACGTGAATGTTACAGTGTTTCTCGACTAAAAAAAGACATTCGACACTGTTGATCATGAGATATTACTAACTAAAATGAATCGGTGTGGAATTCAAGGGAGAACTCTTGATTGGTTTCAATCGTATTTGACGAACCGCACACAACGGTGCTCAGTTAACAGTTGTCTCTCTGACTTATCCACTCTTAAATGCGGTGTGCTACAGGGAACGATCCTTGGCCCTCCTCTATTTGCCTAACTGTCTATCGTTCAGCGTACCTAGAATGTATGCTGATAACACTCACATTCCTTATGCTGATTCTGATTTCCATTTGATTCAGTCTATCTCACAACCTTGAAAAGCTAAGCAAACGGCTTTTGTCTAACAGACTTACCATAAACGCTATTAAAACTGAATTTATGTTGATCGGCTCCAGGTAAAGATTAAGTACTCTATCTGATTCAATCGAACTTTCCATAGATAATGTTCCAATTAAACAAGTTTCCACTGTGAAATCACTTGAAATATATATCGATGAAAATTTAACGTGGCATTCCGACATTGATAAACTGTGTGAAAAGATCGCTTCCCCAACTGGAGCCTTAAAGCGAGTTCAGCCATTTATGCCTCAATCCACCCTAATCAATATATACAACTCACTAGTCCAATCTCACTTTGATTACCACAGCATTGTGGCAAAACAATTATCTAACAAGCTATGCAAACTATAAAACCGTGCCGCACGAGTAATAACTTCATCAAACTATGACGCAGAAGTCGATTCCTTGTTTCCCAACTCAACTGGAAAGACTTGAAATCTCAACGTCAAATTCAGAACGCCTTAATGGTTTTCATTTCTTTAACCGGTCTGGTTCCCGAATATCGCTCGTCTAAATTTATGAAGTGAAATTAATCAAACTATTCTCTGAGGGACTCAATAAACAAACTTGTTGTCTCCTTTCCAAGAACTAACTACATGAAAAATAGCCTTAGTTACAGCGGCGCAACCCTTGGGAACAGCTTACCCTGTAGCATTAGAGAGTCTGGTGCATTAAATCAATTTAAACGCCTTCTCTATCATAATTTTTAATAACACGGCATTCATGGAAATCAGGTTTTCAAGTGGCATATTGTTGATAGTTAATATAATGTTAGGATTAGGATTTTTAGGTTTTAGGATATTAGTCATTGTATTGGAATTTATTGTACCTGATGAATTTTTTACCGTGCATAAATTAGGATTAAAGATTAAAGATAAAAGAACCTCGCCATACGACCAATCGGTTAAAACGTCTCGACCGGTCGTTTCGATACAAAGTCGTTTCAATACGAACTCAAGCAGTGAAACTGCACATGATTTCGAACACTTCAAGTTCATTGTATAGTTTGCGCGTGAATAACAAAAACATTTTGGGGGAATATTCGTCTTTCTTTACGCCAAGGACCTGAAACTACACCTAGACTGAGTCAATTTTTTTCGAAACGAATTTGTCTCGAAACGACCGGTAACCGTTCCTCGTGATTGCACGATCGTTTAACTTGAAGTTAAAAGATTTTTCTGAAGACCCTCCAAAAGGTCTTCTTGAAACTCAGTTGCTTCACTTTAGGTTGTCTAAAGTACTTCCCACCATCTTCCTTTTCTTGACATAAACGACAACTACGAGATAGGACACTTTCATCCTTCACTGACTGCAACACCATGGCAGTAAACAAACTCCCACTAGAAGACTTTTCCTTCCTTTTAATTTTACCGCTAACAAAAACGTATGAGTGTTACAACAATAGCGTAGACATGTCAATGTTTTATTTATTTATTTATTTATTTTTGTTCAGCTAAAGGAAATTCCCTAAACAAGGCTGTATTAGGGTGGCATTGGAATTACCTTTTTCTTTACTTTCCATTTTCACGGGAAAAAAATATATACTTTTTCTCAAGAAAATTCGATAAATTCTCAAACAATGCTTTATGCTTTTACTAAAATGCTCGAAAAAATGCTAGCTTAATGTGCAAATTTAAAGGCTATCGTTTAGTGACCTTCAGTAGCCGGATACAGGATTCCACAGGCAAAAATTTGTCGGATACAGGATTCCATGGGCAAAAATTTGCCGGATTGCGGAATCCGGATTCCCTTACATGTGGCGATACCTAGTTCAGTGGTATAAAAACAGAGCCTGCGGAAACAGCCGTCTCTCCTCGCTCTTTTTCGCCGGTTGGGACGTTTCGCGCGAAGGAACGTCTGCGCCACAGCGGCAGAAATTCCATACAGATGACGTAAATTAATGTTTATTATATACATACTGAGAAATACTCACCAAAAAGCTATGTTGTAAATTTTCGTACGCAAATTAGTTCTAGCCAATCAGAGGAGCGAACGATGGTTTTCACACGTGAAAAAAATGATACGTCCAATCAGAATCGCGAACGATGTTTTTTCACGTGTGAGAAAAATGATACGTCCAATCAGAAGCCACAGAGGTGTGTGAGTTTCGCGCCAAAATTCCCGCCTTTTAATGTAGCTTGCAGCGCCGCTTCGCACACATTCAACGCTAAAAAAGTGAAAAACATTTCGGAAATGGAGTGGAATAGTTTCGTTTGTTTCACTGTCGATGAAAAAACGGTAGAGAGCCGGCGAAACAACAACGGAAAGGGAAAAACAGAACGAGACGTAAGCTTTTGTTGTGCTTTTTGTCGGAGCTACTTTGCCTTTCATTTAGGCTTAAGCTTATAATATTGAAGCCTGCCATTTTCCTTAAATTCACTCATTTTCAATTGTGCATTGAGAACAAACAGTTAAGATTATTTATAGTTCTTGGATTACCTCATATCCTTACCGTCCTTTGTGTTTTTAACAAACGTTTTAACTAAAAAAGCTGATACTTCGTTTTCGTTGTCATTTTGCGGTAAGTGTGTAGCGGTAAATTTTAGCATTTTTGAAAGATTTAAAATAAAAAGGCCGCCAAAATGATGAATGTCTCAGTATGTATATAATAAACACAATACCACATAGAAAGTGCTGGCGTACGGTATTTACGCGCTCGTTGTTTTTGTATCAGAAATCTTACTCGTTCGCTGCGCTCACTCGTTCGATTTCTGATACGTCAACAACTCGTGCGTAAATACAGTACGCCAGCACTTTCCAAGAAGTATTCTCTATTTACATAATAAATCCAGTAGTCATGGGGTTGCAAATTCCTGGTCGATTTTGGTAAAGTGTTGTGTTCATCTGCGAACAAGCTTCAGCAAAACTCAAATGCTTCTTCTGGAGAAGACTATATTCCACAAATATTGACTGTTTTGTTAGAGATTTAATTCATCGCCTTTACATTTGACGTTTGTGGCCTTTTGTCTTTTGTCTGTCATCAGTAAAGAATAGCTAAAACAATGTAACTACTCCGTCGACCAATCAGCGCTTTTGACCAGATTCCGGACAAATTTTACGTCATCTGTATGGAATTTCTGTCGCTGAGTCGTAGACGTTCCTTCGCATGAAGCGTCCTCAGCGGCGAAGAGCGAAGAGAAACGGCTGTTTTCGCGGGCTAATAACAACATCGAACTCAGATTAAATTCGCTAGTAGGTGAGATTAAATTCGTCGTCTAATTTAATGTTAATTAAGCTCGCCCAATTAAATTTGACGTATAAACCTAACTAGGCCTTATTATCAACCATCCTGTTTTTTATTCTCATCTTCTTATCTTTGCTTTAACGATCGGTGTTTATTTTTCCAGCCATAATCTTTTAACTTTGTTTCCCTTTCCACAACAGAACTGCAATGTGACCCTAACCCACCTTCGCCGCCAGAAAATGTTGTCTTGTCATGCAGCAGTTTTGGTGGAACTTCCTTCTGCACAGGCAACTGCGATGGAAATAAAAAATTTTTTATTCATGACAGCTTTTGGTTTATACAGTGTACAAGTCCAGCTATGACGTGGACCGAAATGCCTGATTGTGTAGGTAAGATATTAAAAAAATAATAATTTTTAGCGGTCATCTATCCTAGAGATTTTAGTAGGCACGTGACCGCACTCCTTCCGTCCGCCCGTCCGCACCACACAGAAACCAATGTGAAATGTCACACTTTCTAGCTAGTGCAGGAGCCTGCTGCCTGAGATTGCACATCCATGTTGTAGTGAATTGACAGTGGTAAAGAAAGGTTTTCGCTGACCAGTATCAAATGACCGTATCCCGGGCTCAGGTTTCGACCCATCGAGATTAAGTGTTTTTTTTAAGTTCTCAGCTGAAAGTTACTTGTTTTCAACTGATCAAGGGCTCAACTCCAAGTGGATTTCTTTGCAATGGTTGCGAGTTAATTTGAAGTAAATTATAAAATTTATTAGCATAGGTAATCACATGATTTCGAGTGCAATTTAGAATAAATAAGCACGGGTAAATTTTTCAAAGACCAAAAAGAGTGCACGAGAAAAATCATGTGATTACTTATTAATAATATACACGAAAAACATAACTACAACAACAAATTTTGACAGCGCGCGCGTTTTTAGTTCATTCAATTGATTGGCTGAAACAGACTACCACCTTTGTCAAATTCAAACTTTTTCAAGACCACCGCTTTCAAAATCATTCAGCTAAGAACTTGGAAATGTGCATGTGCAAGGATTGATTTTGTGGTCACCAGCCTGTTAAAGATAACTCGGTTTACAACAATCAGCAAAAGTAAGTGTTTTTAAATTCATCCTCGATTATGAGAGCTCGGTGTTTACAAGAAGTATACTGGAGCCACAGTTGCTGTGATGTCGGAAACTGCCAGTATTACTATAATATTTGCTTTTTCTCAGCGCTGGAATTTCCTTTGGCCTACTGCAAGAGTCATCGTAGCTCTTCTTCGTCGGCTTCATCGTAGTCGTTAAGGAAATTTATACCTCCGTGGCCTGTGACATTGGTCATATGTTCTGAACTTACAATCTTTGCTTTCTCCAGCTTCCTGACTGTTGTTTTTCTTGCACAATGATTCGTAAACTTTTCTCACTTTCTTTAAGGCTAGTACCAGCTACGGATACTTTCAATATGTTAGTTATAGTATTTTCGCCCATTGGTTTAGTTTGGACCAGATGTTTAAATTTTCGGTTTCCTTTGCTAGTGAAGTAGAAAAAAACAGACCATCGCATGGAGACAGCAACCGGACACCTTTCTCCTCCAACAAATAACGTACCTGACTTGAAATCCCTGTTTTTATCATGGAAAACTTGTATCCTTGTTCATTTAAAGGCCTGAAAAGTGTAGCTGTCATGGTTTGCGTGTGGTTGCAACCGTTTTTGTTCTTTATTTGTCTACTTTAGCGTAGTCTGTTATAAGAAGCTTGTTTTTTAGTTTCTCTGGCTCATTTTCCTCGATTTTGTTGACAGTTTTTTTCTCTTAGCACCGTCTTTTCAATACATTTAGCCAGAAAGACGTATACCTTTTACTGTGTTCGGGTTTTTGGAATTTTTTTTTTAACTTTTTTATTGTTGTTTTGCGTACAAATTAAATCCCGCCGTCGTCTGCTGAAAACCATGGCCATTTCCTTGAATTTTTTTGTGAAAACAGCTTTAATCTGATTGGTTCTTGGTGGTTTCTTTTGTGTTTTCAGCAATCAGAAACCATTTGTAATTTGCACTCATTTTACAAGTTTTGCACTCGTGTTACAAGTTTGCACTCGTGTTACGGAAGAACTGCACTCCTTTCTCAACCAATCAGAACTGAGTATTTTTTTTCGTGTATATTATTAACGGGAATATCGCCTTTAGCCTTGACTAAATCTATTTATTATTACTGTTGTTGATGCTGTTGCTGTTATACTGCGTTATACCCCATAAAGGCTGTCTATACGGAAAAAAAAAAACAACAACAACAACAAGTCACTCCAGTCGTGGGATATTCAGAAACAATGAGTCTATCACGTCATGCCCGAATCACAAACTCGTGCCTATCTTACCTCCTAAGAGAGAACACAGACATAATATAAGACAGTCCAGGGCTTATGCCATGCCCCGTACACATACAAATCGTTTTAAGAACACTTTTATTCCAAGTATGTGTACATAAATTTTTAGACTAGTTTGTACATAGTTATATATAGAGAGTTTTTCGCATTTTTATAGAAATGTTTTTTGTTATAATTTCAATTAGTATTTATTTTTTTGGAATTTATTTATTCTTAGTTTTAAGTAATTGTAACGCAATTCAGTCTACGGACTGCCATGTTCGATATTTTAATAAACTATCAATCTATCTAAACTATCTATCTATCTATCTAATGTGCCTCTCGACTAAAAAGCATTGCATGAGTAATACATAAATCTATCCACCACTATTTACCTTTATTCACTGTTCCTCAGAGGGATAGTTTATGTTATTACTAAACGATAAAAAAAAGTACAAACAAAGGACAGCCATTGACCTCTAAAGAGTGAAACTAAAGTTACAAAAATGGTCGTCTAGGGAAAGCTGCGAGCATTAACGTATGAGCTCAGGAGCCTATACTCATGGGTTCCTGATGAGTTCAACTGGTCTACCTTCCCATGTGATTTTCGCCTTGCTTTCCCAAGTCAGCGACATAACTCATTTCTAAACTACTGATTTTCATTAGATTACACAAGCCTAGCAGGTAACGGATCTTGCCCTGCCGGTTATGTGAAGCAGCAAGGCAAAGATGCAGCAACACCAGAAAACATTTGCGGTGAGTATCACGAACATTATCATTATTTCTATATTTTTAATTACTTACTTAATTAACTAATTAATTAATGAATTTTCATTTTTTCATTTTTCCTTAAAATTCATTCAAATTGGAAACTTTCGCTTATAAGCCCTGGTCTTATACAACTTCCAAGGGTTATAGGAAGGCTTTAAAAGAAACCGGGGGAAGCTTGATGAGTGAATCCGCTTGTAAACGGACTAAACACGCTTTTAAAAACAAGCTACATAGCAGTGCTGATCAAAGTACTTTTTGAATTTACTGGCTTTTTTAAGCCTCAAATCGTCATTAATAATCTATTTTCTTTCAATACTGGCTTAAGTTTCTACTTTCAATACTGGCTTCTTTGTTTACAAGACAAGACAAGACAAGACAATGCTTTATTTGGAGTCTTATACAGTCCTTTGTACACCGACTTTATCCAAATAATTTAAAATCATAACACAAATTGCACACTAGTGGAGCTATAATCAATGTTAAGCTAAAGAACTAATGATGTTGAATACGTATGTGGCAATTAACTTTTGCACTGGTTTGTTCTTCTGGTGCCATTCTGTTTACTGATATTTTCTATTCTTTGTTTAAATATTCAAATAAAGTACTTCTTTTTTCTTGATGCGCAGGGCACAGAGTTAAAAAGCGTACTTCATCTTCTTCGTCTTTTTTACAGATAGGACAGATCCTCTCTTCCGGTTTTTTATAAGGTCTTACATAGCGACCTGTCTCTATCGCCAACTTGTGATTACTTAGACGGAGTTTAGTTAGAGTTATCCAGTGTCGGATGTTGGTGACCTGACGGAGATAATCTTCACATTTATAATTTTCTATTGTTTTAAATTTTCGGAAGGTTCTTAGTTTGTTCTTTTGGTTGGCGTCTTTTCTTACGTCATTGTTTACGTCACTTAACCATCTTTGTAATTCGATGTCTTTCAGTCTTTGATTGATAATGTTCAAGATTCCTATGTCGTTTTCATGTGCTTGAGTCCAGAGGTATCCCAGCCCTATTTGGTCTAATACGCGTTTGATTTTTTGGCTCCATAATAATATTCCTTATTCATCCTCGACTTCATGTCATTATATACCACCTGTGATAATTTGTGTTTTGGGTGTTTGGTTAGAGTTAGCCAAAACTTAAAATTCCTATATTGTGCTTCGATTTTTATTGGGAATCTTCCTGTTTCAGCCGTACATGCATTGTTGCTGCAGTATTTATTTACACCTAGCAACCATTTCAAGAATTTGATTTGAACTAATTCTGCGGGATCTTTTTCTATTTGGTCGTTACAGTCAACACCCCAAATTTCACCTCCGTAGAGAAGTAAAATTTCCATACGGGTTCAGTTGTCATTCCCAGATATTTATAAGATTTAACATTCTTTAATTTATTTACTCCATACTTAAACGAGTAGTTATTTAAGGACTTGCCACAATTGTTAAAGATCATGACTTTTGTTTTGTCTAGATTTATAGTTATTTCAGTTTTCTCACAGTAGGATTCCAACTTGTTGAGGAGTGTTTGCAGGCCATTTGCTGACAGCGAAAAGATCACTAAGTCATCCGCATATAATAAACAGTTTATAGGTCTTTCAGAATCATCAAGCAGAATATCGGTTGAGCTTGATGAATTTAGAAAATTCGGGTAGATCACCTAGATAGAGATTAAAAAGGGTGAGTGATAACATACAACCTTGCTTAACTCCAGGGTAACACGGAAAAGCTTCGGTCATTTTGTTGTTGATTGTGACTGCTGATTTATCTTTTGAGTACATGGACACTACTATTTCTAAAAAATGCCCTTTAATTCCTTCTTTTCTGAGTTTTTCGAATAATTTTTTCCTGGGTATGCGATCAAAAGCTTTTCTAAAATCTACAAAACACGAGAAAAGCAAGTTTCTGCGTTTTTGTGGTTTAGATTTAACAAACGTATCTTTGAGTGTTTTTAAGATGAAGATGCTATCTACTGTACCGTGCCATTTTTTAAAGCCGCCTTGTTCTGCTTTTAGAATTCCTTTTTTGGTCATGTAATCATACAATCGATCATTGAGCATGGACGTGAAGAGTTTACCTAATGCAGAGAGCAACGTGATGCCTCGGTAGTTTCCAGCTTTTGATCGATCATCCTTTTTATGTATAGGGACGATGAGGCCAAAACTCCAGAGCGTAGGATATTTACCTTTATCTTTTCCGGTTTTTAGCACTTCATTTAATATTTTATCACACCCTGGGGCTTTGTTTAATTTCAGTTTTTTGATTGCGAAATCAATTTTTTCTTCCGATATTGCATAGTCTAGGGGACCTGCCCCTTCCTCAATAACTCCAGTATCTTCTAGATCTGTCTGGTCGCCGTTCGTTGGAGCCGCGTTTTGTTGTTTGAAGTATTCATAAAACTGTTCCGCTCTTACTGTTTCGGTTCCATGTGGTTGCCGTTTTCTAATATGAAAGATTTTACCTCTCTGTTTCCAAGTATCTTGAGGATTACGGAGGTCAATATCGCCTATACTCTTACTGACAAACTCTCGTTTTTTCCGTCTGCATGTCCGTTTAAATTTCTTCTTTTTGTCTTGTAAAAGGTGACTCAGCTGGGAATTATTTGGCTCCTAAGAAATTTGTTCCCCAAGGGATTTCAGGTTTTCTTTTTTAGTTTCGCATTCCAGATCGAACCAGTTATTTTGTGACATGGCTTTAGTTTTGTTACGTTGGGCTCTCAAGCCGGCTTTCTTACATGCTTCCACCAGAGTTATACTAAACAATTCAGCCGCAGTGCCAACATTATCGTTTCTTAAGGTAGCCTGTAGTTTAGACTGAACTATTTGTGATTCCAGTCATTCTTTTAACTTACTCCTGGTATCCCATAATAGTCTATTATGTTCAGACAAGGTGCATCCGTTCGAGTAGCTAGAAGAAACTGGGCTGCCGGCTAGAATAGCTTTAATAGCATAAGTCACATGACAATTAAGTATCGCACATTTTGAAGTATAGCTTTAGAGCCTAAGCCTATTTACAGGTTGATAGGCTTATAACTGCGGGGGGGTGGGAGGAGGGTTGTGGCTTATAAGCGGAAGTTTATAGGTATATACATGTATTTTTTTTATTCACAGTTAAATGCCCGAAAGGAACATACCATGATGCTTCCAATGGTACCTGCAAAAATTGCCCGATTGATTACTTCAGCACTGTGGAGGGTGCAACAATGTGTCAACAATGCCCTGGTAACACGTCCACTCCGGAAGAGGGATCCAAAACCTGCACTGGTTATTATGTTTTTCTCTATGCTCTACGTATTTTGTAAAGGTGGTCATCAACTCTTATATCGGAAGATTAGATCACATTTCTTAGTTTGTGGACCGTAATGCTCATCGCATGAAGAAAATGGTCCTTTGCGCATCCTGCAGTCTTGCAGTCGTTATTAGAGGCGGAAAGAGCATGAGAAACCTGGCTACAATCTTTGACAAAAAGAGTTATAAGAAGTTTGCACTTCCTTACCCACATAACGCCTATCCAGCGGACTTGTTACCACTATGGTCTTTCTCCACGCCACACCCCGGTCAATGTTGTTTCGTCGGGGGTCAGAAATGGTCCAGCCGGACTTCAACATTTTTTTTTCCCGGGGGGGGGGGTGTTAAAAGTGGTGAATATTTGTATTTACCAGTTGAGCTTTATCTAGAAACTAGACATGGCGAAGTCCACCTTTCTTAACATTTTTGTCCAAGATTGTAGAAGCAAATTTCAAGGTGAACTGAAACACAAGTCGTTATGGCTGTTGTAACCGCTGTAAAATTATCTGGGTCTGTTCCTGGATCGTAGCAGGTGCGGTCCAGGTTAAAATATTGTAGATTTCCAGTTGCTGACCCAAATCCCGTCTACTCGGTTAACGAATTTCAACAGCTTTATTGCAATGGGTTTTAGAAACTGATCAAGTGACATCAACGCACTGCGCGCAACATGTTTTTTTAATTAATCATTGTATTTCTTACACATAGCTCAGTGTTTTGCTGGGCAGTTTTCCCACAGCGGATTTAATCTTCCGGCAAATCTTGAGCCCTGTGAGCCGTGTCCAAAAAGTTCCTACCAAGCCAATTTGGGCCAAACAAGTTGCGAGCAATGTCCTAATGGAACCTCCACAATTACAACAGGATCAACTTCGGTCAACGATTGCGGGGGTGAGCAAAACACACAAAGATATTGCAACCACTTCCTCTATTTTTCTGCCTCCAAAGTTAATGCACTTCTTTTTTTTGGCCGTCTTGCCTTTCACTTTTCTCAAAACTTTGACCATCAAAAAGATCTTTTGTCTTCCTTGATTTCACGTATTTAACATTTGATGTATTCTTGTTGTTGTTGTTGTTTTTGTTGTTGTTGTTCTTCTTCTTATGTTGTTGTTGTTTTTTTTTTGTTTGTTTGTTTGCTTTCAGGACCACCGGTGGTGACAGTATTTGAACCTAATCCAACAAATGCTACGGAAAACCAGGCGACTCAGTTTGAATGCTACGGCAGTGGTTTACCTTTGCCCAGGTTCTCCATTAAGAAATTGGTACCACCCCCAGGTATAAAACGTTATGCTACGTTATGAGGGAGTATTTTTGTTTGTACACAACCTTTAAATGAGTCTATTACCATGTAGTAGCTTACCTCACTGGCGGATGCAAACCTTACAACGTTTCTAACTTACCTGTAACTCCACTAATCAAGGGCGGGGCCCGAAACGTTTGGAGAGGAACTCAAAACACAAGACGGCACGTTTGTTCATTATTTTTTTGTTGAACATTCTCTTACTTAATTTCTAAAGTGTAACCCAGCTTATCGGATTTTTTTTCCGTTAATTTACTTAAACCAAGTTCCAGTGTGTCAATCTGGTTTCCCTGCGAATGACTTCCGAGGAGCGAGGCCAGAAATTCCCTACGAAAGGCGCGTCACTATCAAAATCTGGGTACTACAGTGCCTCCGACTGGATGAAAATTTACTTCATACAATCATTGGAGTCAAGAAATTTCCGCTGTTTCTCAGACATTCAAACTTCAGTATAATTGAGCAATTATTTACCAATACAGGCTCTTTTAAGATAATTGTAAGCATATTTGGTGCAACGCTTTAAGCCACTAGCTCCTCGAGCTAAAAGTTGTTTCCTCGTTTTTTACTTTCAGCTGGTTTTGGAGGCCCAGTAAAAAAAGAGTACATCACAGATCAGGATGGTAGGCAAACTGGACTTCGCTACATTATCACCAAAGTGGCCGAAAAGGACGCTGGTGCGTACTACTGCACGGTGGAGAATAATTTTGGCACGGACACCAAATATTTGACCGTGAACGTAGCACTAGACTACAGCATAGGTAAGTAGCTTTAATTCAAAAAAAACTTGATTTAATATACTGACTCCGAGCGTGGGTAATTCTTAATCCTAATTTGCCCTTACTTAGGCGTCCTTACCTTTTCCTTCTCGAGTGTTACAGTAAAAATTCTTCATTTAAGAAAATTCCTTATCCCAACCTAGAGTTAAAATGTTCTCACATAGTTGGTATCCACTGAGAATCGATCGTAAACGGATAAAAGTAAATAAATAAACGTTTGTGATGCGTGATACTTGAATTAGGAAATAACAAGAGGAAGCAAACCGGAGGCGTTTCGGGTTTATGACCCTTTCTCAATGTACAACAAACCGTTAAGTGTTCGCTAAAACGACTCCTGGGCCTTAGCCCTTAGTGTTACTTTTTCTCAATTGATACTTTTCCTTAACAAGATATCCGCCATTAGGGTTATCATTTTTACCTGAGTCAAGTACCTTGTCATTTAATTAAACACGGATGAGGGCCCAAACTAACCTATTGATTATGCGACATTAACACACTGCAAGCAAGAGCATTTGTGCATTTCCAGTTGAATTTCAACTTTCTTTTACATATTTTTGTGTTTGGTTTTTATTTTCCAAAGAAGAAGATTCTAGGCTTAAATCGTCCTTCAAAAGTAGAGTTTATATTCCCAGACTTAAGGTGGCTGAACACAGTTTTGGCAGTTTCTGAGTATAGGTCATTTTCCAAATTATGGCAAGAGAAAGGTTGCAGCTCACAAGCTGAAACTTGGCAAGTGAAAAATATACTGATGAAAGATTTTGACTGACAGGTAAAATTTGACGTTTTTAGTTTCCATGGCAACATGAACGATTAAATACAACCTTAAAATTTCACTTTTACCCAGTTTACATAAAGTTCGCTCATGAGATTTTCTTATAAACTTGCACACAGCTTACTATAATTAATCATTACCATTTGAAACTTATATGACCAAATGTTAACAGAGGGGTTTTTAAATAAACAATAATATAATTGTACTGTAATTATTAAATGTGTCACAGACTTCGTCGGTTCAACTTCCATTTTAAAGTTCTCATTATTCAAAATACGATAAAAGGAAAAATTCTGCCAAATATCACAAAATTTTAATGAGTAGATTTTGAGAAATCATCTTCTGTGTACTATTGCATTTTATTATATACATACTGAGAAATACTCACCAAAAAGCTATGTCGTAAATTTTCGTACGCAAATTAGTTCTAGCCAATCAGAGGAGCGAACGATGGTTTTCAAACGTGAAAAAAATGATACGTCCAATCAGAATCGCGAACGATGTTTTTTCACGTGTGAGAAAAATGATACGTCCAATAAGAAGCCACAGAGGTGTGTGAGTTTCGCGCCAAAATTCCCGCCTTTTATTGCAGCTTGCAGCGCCGCTTCGCACAGATTCAACGAGAAAGTTTTACTCAAAGAGTTTTTCTCGCTAAAAAAGTGAAAAACATTTCGGAAATGGAGTGGAATAGTTTCGTTTGCTTCACTGTCGATAAAGAAAACAGTAGAGAGCCGGCGAAACAACAGCGGAAAGGGATAAACAGAACGAGACGTAAGCTTTTGTTGTGCTTTTTGTCGGAGCTACTTTGCCTTTCATTTAAGCTTAAGCTTATATTGAAACCGGCCATTTTACTTAAAATCACTCATTTTTAATTGTGCATTGAGAACAAACAGTTAAGATTACTTATAGTTCTTGGATTACCTCATATCCTTACCGTCATTTATGTTTCTAACAAACGTTTTTACTAAAAAGCTGATACTTCGTTTTCGTTGTCATTTTGCGGTAAGTGTGTAGCGGCAAATTTTAGCATTTTTGAAAGATTTAAAATAAAAAGTCAGCCAAAATGATGTATGTCTCAGTATGTATATAATAAACACAATACCACATGGAAAGTGCTTTGTACGGTATTAACGCACTCGTTGTTTTTGTATCAAAAATCTTACTCGTTCGCTGCGCTCACTCGTTCGATTTCTGATGCGTCAACAACTCGTGCGTAAATACCGTACGCCAGCACTTTCCATGAAGTATTCTCTATTTTCGCCGCCATGTTTGTTGTCTAATTTAAAACACGCGCTACCGCTGACCACCCGCAAAACTGTGTTCAGCCACCTTAAAAGAGGAGTTTACGCCCATGTTTGTACTTCATTTCTTTCATTTTGTGGCTTTTTCGTTTCTCGCTTACTTACATTCCCGTCTTATTTCATTAACGCCATTCTATTTTATTTTATTTTGCTTGAGTTTAATAAAAGCAATTGAACTAACATATTTTTGATTTATTTTATTTTATTTTTTTTTTGCTTGTTAGGCAAGCGTCGTCGTCGACGTCGCCGTTTAGCCGCTCCTTAAGTTATGAGTTACATGAAGTGAAAAAGAAAAGAAAACTAGCTGATAGAAGAGCTTATAAACAACAATGTAACTTGGCAAGAAATTTAACTAAAACAAAAGGGAACCCTTAAATAAAGCCATTTGAAAACGATTTGTTGTTGTTGTTGCTAAGTTACAACGGGGAATACTGAGATATGATCTGCTAAACGACTCCCATATTTCCACAGGCGGTCCATCAGACTCTGTGTTTCAGACAATGTACGAAAATAAGCAAAATAAGTCCTAAATTCCATTTTTGGACAAAAATAGTGATAGAAATGACTCGCCTTGTGTTTTTGGTTTGATATTTACTGTCTTTTTACTTCTAGAGCCATTTGGAACCAGTTTTATCGACTTTCACGATTTTGAGTTGTACTATCAATTGTTAGTCTGCCTGTGGTATTTCCCTTCGTGTTCATGCAAAAGCGATTTTGGATTTTAAAACTGTCAAGAATATAGAGAATGAAATCTTAGTAAAAATTTTAGAGACCTTTAGATTCCGACGAGGACTACGTACTACGAGGGCGAGATCAAACTTTTAGGGCCGGTTATTTAAACGAAACCCGCGGTT